CCCCCCCCCCCCCGTCTCCCCAACGAGGCTCCGGGCAGCTTGTCCCCGTAGGTGCCCTGCTTGAAGTGGGGCCCTGGTACAAAGAAGCCCCGACCTGCGAACGGAATTCGGCGAAGCGAACTCGGTTGGGCCCGAAAATGGCAAGGGGGTCCGTGTGGTGTTCCTTTCCCTTTTGATATCCTTTGATGTGTCCTTTTGTTTTTCCTGCCTTTCCTTCAAATACATCTTCACTGTGGCTTTCCCTTCGGATTGTCTTGCTGTTCTTTGTCTGTTTGGTGTCCTTTTTACCAAGAAAGGCTTCGCAATTCAGTGCGGAGGAACCCCGTATGGCCACTGCCCGGCACAACCAGCAGCTGTTTGCTCCCTTGCGATCTCGGGGCGGCATGCTAGCCTCCGCGTAAGCTTTGGAGAAATATGCATGTTCACGCCAAGAAGTTGAAGATCCAACCCCGAAATATTGCAAGTCAACCAACCATCCTCGACCACAAAACCATGGTAATTTGCGGGGCAAAACACACTCAGGGCATCCACAGGTGTACCAGGCAGGATAGAACAAGGATGGTCCTTGAGTGTCTGAGGGACCCCTTGCAACAAGCTAAACTGCAGTTGTTCACAAAAAGAAGGCTCCCATTTTGAGACCTCTGCACCGCCCTGCGCCCCTTCTTTTCTCCCCCCTTCAATCCCCAGTTTAAAGAAAGAACCCTCGCTGACCCCACCGTGGCTGACATATGATGACCACACGAAGGTGGCACTGGGCTGGCTGCTTGATCAAATCCAGTTAGCCCACAGGCATGGATTGGATCTGCACCAATCAGTACACCCAGGCAATCAGTCGCACGGCTGGAGCAGGGCCGAGAAAAGCAAAAACAAGAACAGCTGACCTGCCGCACAGCAGCTTTAGCATTCCAAGCGGTTGTTTATGGCCTGGATCAACACCCACCTTTTCACGTAGTGATCGATTGCCTTTAAAATCAACAGGGGAAATAGACTCTTGTTTTTTTTTACAAAAACAGGAACCACACCCTTCCGAGTGTTTCTTCCAAGCTGCCGACCAAAAAACCAACACGACCCCAAATCCGCCTCCGGCTCGCCGGCCCAGCTTGCCGAGCCTCAGGTGGGTCATAAGGAATGAAAATGGTCGACCCAGAACCGTGCTTCAAGAATTAAGAAGGCGGATATCCGCCGCTATGTTTTGGTTGGGAGAATCCCTTACTAAAGTTCATCTACCTGGGGTTTGATTGTGGCTCAGGTTGATTTTGGGTCAAGCACTGGGGCCACGTGTTGAGGATGCGCTCCGCCAAACGCTCCAGAAAACGCTCCAGGCACAAGCAAAAGAAGCTCATCAACTTCAAGGAACCACAAGGCAAGATCATGGAATTTGGGTCTGTCTCTTTTTTTGAGTTGGTTCCCCTTTTTCGTGGCTTTGAAAGGAAACCAAAAAGAAAACCTGCATTTTCTCGGGGGGTCCCTACAAAAACCACCCTTTTGTGACCAGAGATACCAACTTTGATTTTTGCTTAACCTGTCGGACGTTGCCAGAAACTCGACCTGTTGGCTGGGGCTCAGGGCTTACTCCTGGCGCGCGGATTGCATCTTCCCCATCCCATGCCACTGACTCCGCCTGATTTCCGCTTCTCTCAATGTGAGTAATTTCCGCCAATGCAATCCAAAGCCATTCAGATGCTGGAATTTCCTCTGCCGGCTTGACACCCGAGCTTAGGTGGGGCACGTCAAAAAGCAAAGAATAGTGGATCCAGGTTGTTAATGGGGGGTTGGATTCAGCCAGTTGCTCATTCCCCCCCTTCACGAAAAAACTGCCACAACACCTGGTCCTCCGAGCAGTCAATGGGTGTTGTGGATTCAAAGCCGCAAAGGGCTGCAAAGCCTCTAAAACTTCACGGTATCTTTCGCTCGCGGCCCCAAAAAAAAGATGAGCCACAACGTCCGCACCCGCGACGTCGCATTTGACTCCAACCTTTTGGGGCTGTGGATGAGTGTCTGATCACGCTTGGAAAAAGCACCGGAAATTCGGTTGCCAAAGGGCATTAAGCTAGGCCATTTGGGCAGCGGGAAAAGAGGACGCCATTGGGCTCACTTTCTTTTAGGGGACCCCATTTCCCTTTGAACAAACCCTACAAAAAGGGTACCCACACAAACAACACACCCATTTGGTTGGTTGCGCGAAAAAGGAAACCAGCAGCGGCTGCACTGCTGGGCAACTGGTTTGCACTTGGATCCGCATGCCACGCCGGTCGGTCAGCTTGCTTTTGCCAGATTCTGTCCGACCCCAACGCTGTGGATCCGCGCTTCTCTGGCCCAGATTGCTTGGGGCGGTAGGCTGCCTCTCCACCCCAACACCCTTTTCGATGTTGCTTCACCGGAAAATAAGCTCAGGCGATAGCGGAACGCCCCGCAACCCACCTCACCGCCGGTTTTGCTGAGGATGCCGCCTTGTAACTTTATGAAGCAAAGCTTATAGTGGCAGCGCGGCCCGAGGGCAGGCCCGATCGGGGCCCGACGGCGCAGTCGGGGCCCGGCGCCTTGCCTCAACCACCCCGGACCACCCCGCAGCCCCCGCAGAGCCTGGTGGAATTCTGGTGGAACCCTCGTGGAACCTTGCCTCAACCTCGCGCAGCCTGGTGGAATTCTGGTGGAACCCTCGTGGAACCTACCTCAACCACCCCGGACCACCCCACAGCCCTCGCAGAACCTGGTGGAACCCTGGTGGAACCCTCGTGGAACCTTACCTCAAACCACCCCGGACCACCCCGCAGCCCTGGCAGAACCTGGTGGAACTCTGGTGATGGAACCCTCCTGGAACCCTCGTGGAACCTTACCTCAGTCTGGGCTGAGACCCCAAAGCTTTCAGCTGTTGGGGAAAAGTCCAATCGCATCCCACCATTCCACCCCCCCGCCCGTTTTCGGCCACCGGTCCTATGCTGCATGAGTTTTGAGCGGCTGGTCAGCGTGATGCACCCGTAGTCGTAGAAGTGCAAGGGCGAGGGCCTCAACGTGGATTTGTTTTAGTCGAGGGAGGGTGAACAAAAATCGGACTAGTAGCCGGAAGCTTCCCCCATTCGCCTTTGCAAATGGAACCAAGTTTTTGAAAGGGTCCCCAAAAACCTTCTATGCAAACCTGGAGAGTGGATTTGGGTGAAATGTGAGTCACACACCTTCTGAAACAAGGAGTTCCCCTGTGGAAAGAGTTCATGGGTGAGGCCAAAAGAAAACCCAGAAGAAAAAGCTGCCGGTCGCAAAGCGACGTCCTTAGGTCCCTACAAGCTGCCCGAAGGATTCAACCAGAGGTAAACCGCGCTCACAGAAATGCAACCCATCTACAAGGGATCATGCTGTACTCAAAACAACTTCTTCATCCCAAGAGAAAACAAATGTGCGTTTCTAGCAAACGGATGACAAAAAGGCCTTGACTCATTGACCGACTGACTACCATGAACCGCACGCCCCAAGTGCCACCTAAGCTCCATGCGACATGCCTCATCTCCAAACCAAAACCAAGCGGCGCCCGAAGGGGTGTCTCTGAAAACGGATTTTTTTTCGGACCCCCTTTTGCTTGGGGGTTGAAAATAAGGGAAACTTAAAGGAAACCAAGCATTGCAGGGGACTCCCCCCCACCTCCCAAAACCTGCTGCAAACCCGCTTCCAGCCGAGGCGTTGGGCGGGCGCAGCCGCCGCGGGTCCCTCTCCGAGCCTCTCTGCCATGGCAAGAAATGTCACCGATGGGTTCGATGCCAAGAACATGCAGTCGTGCATTGCGAACTGCAACCTCCTAGTAAGAAACAGATGTATTCAACTGGGGTCCAGAATTCTTACGTAAGTTTTGCGTGCGCAGAGTCTTTGGAATTCATGAAAGTCGTGAAAGCGACAGCCAGCTTGTCAAGGTCAAACCCGTTCCTGGGGCAGGGACAAAGAGAGGTCCTTGGAAAACTATTAAGATATCCAAATGGAGGTGTCTTGCTTGAAGAGTGGCCATGGGAGCAAAAAAAAACCTGGAACCCCTGTGAAAGGAACCCGGGAAGCAGGAATGCCTTGTTACCCTCTGTACGGTCAACCCTCATTGCGTCCCCAGCTTCTGTTGTCTGCCTCAACGTGTTCCCCAATGTGCCCCATGCCATCCCCTTGACACTGGACGACAATGTTCCCTTGCAACGAAGAAGGCCGCAGACCAAATCCCTTTGCAAGGACGCTCTGATTTTCCCATCCCATTGAGGGGATCCTTCACCCTTTGGGGGAAACACCACTTTTGATCTGTCAGGCTGGTTAGTATAATCCAGGTAGATTTCAGCCCAGAAACCCAGGGCACCATTGGTTTGCCTTTTGACTTAAAATGGACACCCTTCCCCCAAAAAGCGGCAAATAAAAAAAATACCCCAACCAACCTAGCAGAAGAAAGCAATTTCAAAGCCCGCCCCAAGCCCACCAAGAGAAACCACGCGCCAAACCCCACGATCCGAGCGCCGATCCGATCGCCCCCCCGAAACCGCCCGCGCCGTTCTCGTGCGTCACGGTGGCGAGCAGCGGCTCGCTGGCGGGGCGGCCTCGATGGATCCGTCAGATGCCCCAAGCGAGTCGGTGGTTCCTTTTTGGCGTCCCTGACCAAAACAAAACCTCCGTTTTCGAGGCTAACCTCCATTTGGCGGGGGAGGGATCTGCTGGTTTAACGGAAACCACACCCGTTGGACAAAAAACTCGTCTTTGTTTCGACTCTTTACCTTTTGGTGTCGGGGTCCCAGAGTCTTCTTTTGCCAGGGATCAACTCAAACTAAAAGACAACTGGGTGTTAGTCATGCCATTGGTCTTGCAAAACTGAAAAGAGCTCCTTCAACCCCAAGTCGCCCACTCTATATATCTCTACATTGAGAAAATCGAACAATTGCACCCGTCTCACGACGGCACTGGCTTCAGTTTGGTTCACATCTACGGGGATGTTTCAAAGTAAAAAAAAAAAAAAAAACGGTTGATTTTCGGCTTCCCTTCAAAAACCACAAGGATAGCGAGCCCAGGGACCAATTCCTCCAGGGTTTGCGCTTGGCTTCCTGATCCAAACAGGGCTGCGCATGGGGCGCCCCGCTGAGCGGCGAGGCCTCACATCCAATTTCGTGGAAGCTGAGAGGAAGGGGTTGGAAGACGCCTTTCTGGGGAAGCCCCATCAAAGACTTTGAATGGAAATTTCTGATCGGAATGGCTAGCAAATGATTGGAAAAAGGGTATTTTTTGAAATGGCAATTGCACTGTTCCGAATTCCCGATCGGAATGGCTGGCAAAATCAAGCCGAAAGGAGAACCATTTCACGGACATCCAGATTTGGGGGAACGTCATTTGCGCAGAAAGCGGTCCCACAAGGGAGTCTCTCCAGCTCCCAAGCCAAAGGGGCTTAGTTGATACGCAAAGGCCACCATCTCTTACCCGTTGAACAGGCCATCGTCTCAAAAATGTTTGAGGTTGAATGAGCTACACTCACCATGCTCAAATTTTGAAGTTAGACTCACCTTTCGCATTTGCCCGCTGAATTCATCCGTCGCCTCTTTGGCGGCTCCAGCAATCTCATCAGATAAGCTTGGGGTGGAGATTTGAAAGCCTCACTTGGATTGAAAGTTCTTGCAAATGGGAAGACAGGCCGTTCAAGCACAATCGAGGCACACAGCCCATGCAGCGGAGATGGGCCTTGGCTGCGTGTACTTAGGGAGTGGATCGCTTGGGGTGCACGTGCTCAAGCAAATAACGAGGTCATCAGCCGCGGCGCTACCAAGAGCCAGCTATTACCATGCCGAAGATATCTCGGTTGCTTTCTGATCCCCTGCAAACAGTTTAACTTTTAGTGGTTTAATAGAAAATCCATTAGTTGGCAAAAAGCTAAAGTCCTAACATCCAAGCAAAATGCAGCAGAGATATCCTGTTTGACAAATCTATTCTACTTGCGTCGCATAGAATAGTAAGTCATGGAATACCTCACAAAGATGTGTTGGATCCATCTCTTCAACGCTCAAAGGCCAGAAATCAGCCCCTTTGCGGACCGAGACTAGATCATTGCCTTGAGTCAGAGAAGGCTGGAAGTCTCATTTGCCGGTCTGAAAGCTCCGCGAAGGAACTCGTTTCAGGAAACTTGAGACTTGGTTGTGCTGTCTAACCATGCACGACGTGTTGCAAAGTCTGAGAGTCTTAGGTGCGCCGTTCTTTCCTTATCAAACTCTTTAGATTGTAGAGTTATTTTGAGAAAGGAATCCTATCTAAGTTCTAAACTTAAGACATAATGTCACATAGGATTACCTAAATTCTAAGTTTGAGATATAATGCTCGGTTGGATTCGGAACAAGTACGTCCTTATCGAGTGCCATTTAAATCCTGTTCAATTTCTCGTTGACTTTTAGAGAGCGGCGGCTGGCGGAGACGCGAGTTGCGAACGAAAAAAGCTAAACTTCTCTGGCCATGGAATTATTTCCTCGCGGATTCTACTTCATAGTTTTGTCAAATTCTGCTCAATGTCGAAATTTCATGAGAAAAGAATCCCATCAGAATGTCCATTGAAAATTAGAATTCAAATGATAGATTATCGTGTATCAAATTAATATTTAGTCTACCTCAAATTCACATGCTCACAGGATGTCCTTTCCAGAATGTTCTTGACACATTTAATCAGTTTACTAATTCCTTTCATACTGTACCAAGGCTTGGGTGTGAACTACACAAGTGCACCTGAACGCAGAATCTCTCGCACACCTTTTGCCTGAAACGGGAAAATGCAAAGCCCATGTCCCATGTGTCCCAGATCCAGGCACCACTCCGCAATGGTGCTTGTATGTTTGTTGCTTTTGGCTTTTCTCAAGTTGTCTTGCATGTTTTGGACGAGTGTGTTGAAAACCTCGAAGAAAACCGCAAAATAATGGCACAAACCAGGTCGATCCGGGAATCCCTGCCCAGTGGGGCAGTAAATTTATCAATTTGTCCTTTTATTCTGGTCTTCTCCACTTTTCCCTATGTGTTTCTCTATTTTGATGGAGAAAACGCCCTTCTTTTCTCCATGTTTTCCCTACTTTGGTGGAAAATGGCCGTGTCCTCTCCAGGTGTCAGTTTTCCAGGCGTTTCTCAGGCCCCATGTCCCCGGATCCGCCGAAAGCCGCGGATCCGTAGGCCCCCCGCCGGGCCGTGGGTCCAGCGCATCGGCCTCGGCCGGTGAGCTGTTTGCCCCGAAAGAAAAAGAAACGGAAGTGAGTGGAAGGTCCAACTTGCCCGTTGTTGTGTTCTGTGCTTTTTTTTCTCTCTTTTCTTTCTGAGCTCCAAAGAATCAATTGGAAACTTGAACCCAGGAAATGTCTGGAAGTTGGTTGGGTACGTCGGCAAATTGTATTTTCAGCTCGCCAGCCATCTGCAAAGGGGGAATTCCAGTAACCCCTGTCTTACTGTTTTGGGAAGTCGACACGGAGGCCCGTGCGGCATTGCGGGGCAACCAGATAAGGAAACACAGGCCGCTGCTTTGTTTGCATTTTCGTTGACAGATTCCGCAACAACTTGAAGCTGGTGGCTGACTGCAAGGATTGAAGCCCTATAACAACAAGTGATACAGCGATACAGGTTACCTACGAGTTTGAACCGCGCATCGGCAGCGGGAATCCGAATAAAACACGGGATGCACGCTCTTCATAGCGGAAACCAACCCCCCCTCCCCCCCCGGGAAAAAAAAAGGCAGAGCGTGCACACAATTTTGCACCTCATTGACATCCGTGGATTCATGTCTTGCTCGCTCGTTCTGAGGTGGACCTGGTGAAGCTTACAAGGCACCTGAAACAAGGACCAGCCGACCGCCAACAAGCTACCGTAGGCAGCAACAAGCAAACGCAGTAAGGCATGCTGAGAACCACGGGCACAGACTCGCCACTAAAATGCCTGCCGCGACTTGCCGTCAGTCGCGGGAGGCTTGGCGTTGCTACCTGCGATTGTTGTTTGGCCTGGCTATGAGGCTCAGGGAGCTAAGTCTGTGTTATGGTACTTGCTGGTGCAAAAACGGGGGAATGGGGTCTTGTGACAAACCGGCGAAGGGTTATGCACAGGCGCCGAGCGCGTCCAAGGTTGACCTGACTTCCTTCTAGGAGACTCACCAGCTTACTTCAAAGGCCACTGGCATGGGGCTCTCCAGATGCTTCTTTCCGCGATTCGGCTGGAGGTCCGAAGCACGTTCCTTCTGTGGCCAATCAAAGTAGGACCTTCAGATTTCAACCAGGTCCCAGCGCGGGAATTTGCGGTGCGACTGGATGCCGGAAAGCTCTCTCTCGTGATTCTGGAGGTGCGGCTCTGGCGCAAGAGAAGCTGTCGACTCAGATGTCGGGCTATGAGCCAAAGCAACCATCACAGCCTCCAACTGCGAAAGGAGCTAACTATTGGACGGCGCGGAAAGCGTGGAGATACTGCGGCTTCAAGCAACAAATGGCTCAAAATTAAACAGCTGGGGTTACGCGGGATTTTGGTCCATGCTTCCACTTGCCAGGGTTCCGTTTTGGTACCGGTTTTTTAGCCACAGCCAAATCATGCTGAGTCCTTCCCCAAATTATCCTTCCGATGGTGGCAAAAACCATCGCCTGGGGCTCGTTCCGAACTCCCCTCCTTTGGACCCGTTCTTATTCTCAGAAGCTACTTGGACGAGTTCTCATGTGGCCCGTCAAGTGGCCATGGGTCAAACTCCAAATCGTACCCCCAGTGAACATCCCAATCCCCACTCAAATAGGTTCTAAAATGGGTGGTGCACCCCAAGATGGGTGCACCGAAAACCCCAAAAACCACATCCCAAAACGGTTTTCACAACCACAGCCAAGTCGAGATCTGCGAAATGAGGGCTCCGGGCAGTGCTTCGGAGGGGATGTCGTCGTAGGCCCGGGCCGCCTGCGCCTGCAGCGTGTCCTGCCCGCTCCGCGGGGACGATGCTATGCGCAGGCTCCTTGGGTGTTGTTGTGCTGCATTGCTTGGGTTGGCATTCGCAACACAGACGTGTGTCTCTCTGCAAAACGCTGAAATCCTTGGATTGTGTGTGTGTGTGCGGCTTTTGTTGGGTTTGCACACGCCCAGGTGTTAACTGGGGTTACAAGGAGTAGTGAGACGTAGCCTGATCATCTTCCACTGCCCTCCCTTGCCAAGTTGGCATACCCGGAGGAGTGTGAGGGTATCGTGAAATCTTCTTGGCCAGGCTTCGGCCCAACACAAAAGCCAACTGGACCCCAAACCCATGATTGCTCAACGCTTCTCATCGCACTTCTTTTCCACAATGAGAGCCCTTTTTGGGCCCCAAAAGATCAGAAACCCATCCTCATGGGTTCCACAACGGGTACCAAAACCCGGGCCGGACAAAACCAGGAACTACTCCCCCCCACGCCCTCTTCCCCCGGCCTCGAAGTTCCGCAAGGTGTCGTAGGTTTGGAGCGCCACCTTCCAGCGCCTCGACTCGCCTCAAGCATCGAGGAGCTTCGGGAGGGAGGCTCGGCAGGGGAAGTGCTGGCAGATCCAAAAAGCCCCGCGGCTGGTCCCTTGGTTCCCCGCGCGAGAGGTCTTGGGGCTCTTAGATTGTCCGGACGCACTTGTCACAGTTCTGCAGGCGAGTGCTCAGTTCTGCAGCCTCTGGACATGCAAAGAAGGCGACCACAGTAGCAAAGAAACTCTGCATGCCATCAAGCAAATGCCCCGCTGGCACGTATGCACGCCCCGCGTGCAGTGGCGTGACCAAACAATGCAGCAAGCTGTGTGCCGAGGCAGCATCGTCCCAAGAAGCATCAGTAGCCGAGGCAGCATTCGCTGAACCCAGCTACAACGGCTCCTTGTTCAGCTTGATGCTTGCCTGGTTCTCTGCCGCCATGCAGCAGAGTTGATACTCTGGCAGAAGTTGTCCAACCTTCCAATGACACACGCGGCTACTGACCACAAGGGAAGTTCACCGCTTGCAAGGGAAGGACGTTAAGGCTTCTGCGACTCTGTGCTCTCTTCCAACTTACAACTCGAAATGCCCAACAACTTGCCTCAACAACACTGGCTCCCCCGCAATCGTGCGCCCACCAAACCCTGCAGCAAGCTGTGTGCCGAGGCAGCATCCTCCCAGGAAGCATCAGTAGCCGAGGCAGCATTCGCTGAACCCAGCTACAACGGCTCCTTGTTCAGCTTGATGCTTGCCTGGTTCTCTGCCGCCATGCAGCAGAGTTGATACTCTGGCAGAAGTTGTCCAACCTTCCAATGACACACGCGGCTACTGACCACATGGGGACTTCACCGCTTGCAAGGGAAGGACGTTAAGGCTTCTGCGACTCTGTGCTCTCTTCCAACTTACAACTCGAAATGCCCAACACCTTGCCTCAACAACACTGGCTCCCCCACAATTGTGCGCCCACCAAACCCTGCAGTAAGCTGTGTGCCGAGGCAGCATCGTCCCAAGAAGCATCAGTAGCCGAGGCAGCATTCGCTAAACCCAGATACAACGGCTCCTTGTTCAGCTTCGTGCTTGCCTGGTTCTCTGCCGCCCATGCAGCAGAGTTGATACTCTGGCAGAAGTTGTCCAACCTTCCAATGACACACGCGGCTACTGACCACATGCGGAGTTCACCGCTTGCAAGGGAAGGACGTTAAGGCTTCTGCGACTCTGTGCTCTCTTCCAACTTCTAGCTCGAAATGCGCAACAACTTGCCTCAACAACACTGGCTCCCCCGCAATCGTGCGCCCACCAAACCCTGCAGCAAGCTGTGTGCCGAGGCAGCATCCTCCCAGGAAGCATCAGTAGCCGAGGCAGCATTCGCTGAACCCAGCTACAACGGCTCCTTGTTCAGCTTGATGCTTGCCTGGTTCTCTGCCGCCATGCAGCAGAGTTGATACTCTGGCAGAAGTTGTCCAACCTTCCAATGACACACGCGGCTACTGACCACAAGGGGAGTTCACCGCTTGCAAGGGAAGGACGTTAAGGCTTCTGCGACTCTGTGCTCTCTTCCAACTTCTAGTTCGAAATGCGCAACAACTTGCCTCAACAACACTGGCTCCCCCGCAATCGTGCGCCCACCAAACCCTGCAGCAAGCTGTGTGCCGAGGCAGCATCCTCCCAGGAAGCATCAGTAGCCGAGGCAGCATTCGCTGAACCCAGCTACAACGGCTCCTTGTTCAGCTTGATGCTTGCCTGGTTCTCTGCCGCCATGCAGCAGAGTTGATACTCTGGCAGAAGTTGTCCAACCTTCCAATGACACACGCGGCTACTGACCACAAGGGGAGTTCACCGCTTGCAAGGGAAGGACGTTAAGGCTTCTGCGACTCTGTGCCCACGCCCACCAAACCCTGCAGCAAGCTGTGTGCCGAGGCAGCATCGTCCCAAGAAGCATCAGTAGCTGAGGCAGCATTCACTGAACCCAGCTACAACGGCTCCTTGTTCAGCTTGATGCTTGCCTGGTTCTCTGCCGCCATGCAGCAGAGTTGATACTGTGGCAGAAGTTGTCCAACCTTCCAATGACACACGCGGCTACTGACCACAATGGGACTTCACCGCTTGCAAGGGAAGGACGTTAAGGCTTCTGCGACTCTGTGCTCTCTTCCAACTTACAACTCGACATGTGTAACAACTTGCCTCAACAACACTGGCTCCCCCGCAATCGTGCGCCCACCAAACCCTGCAGCAAGCTGTGTGCCGAGGCAGCATCGTCCCAAGAAGCATCAGTAGCCGAGGCAGCATTCGCTGAACCCAGCTACAACGGCTCCTTGTTCAGCTTGATGCTTGCCTGGTTCTCTGCCGCCATGCAGCAGAGTTGATACTCTGGCAGAAGTTGTCCAACCTTCCAATGACACACGCGGCTACTGACCACAATGGGACTTCACCGCTTGCAAGGGAAGGACGTTAAGGCTTCTGCGACTCTGTGCTCTCTTCCAACTTACAACTCGACATGTGCAACAACTTGCCTCAACAACACTGGCTCCCCCGCAATCGTGCTCCCACCAAACCCTGCAGCAAGCTGTGCCGAGGCAGCATCGTCCCAAGAAGCATCAGTAGCCGAGGCAGCATTCGCTGAACCCAGCTACAACGGCTCCTTGTTCAGCCTGATGCTTGCCTGGTTCTCTGCCGCCATGCAGCAGAGTTGATACTCTGGCAGAAGTTGTCCAACCTTCCAATGACACACGCGGCTACTGACCACATGGGGAGTTCACCACTTCCAAGGGAAGGACGTTAAGGCTTCTGCGACTCTGTGCTCTCTTCCAACTTACAACTCGAAATGCCCAACACCTTGCCTCAACAACACTGGCTCCCCCACAATCGTGCGCCCACCAAACCCTGCAGTAAGCTGTGTGCCGAGGCAGCATCGTCCCAAGAAGCATCAGAAGCCGAGGCAGCATTCGCTGAACCCAGCTACAACGGCTCCTTGTTCAGCTTCGTGCTTGCCTGGTTCTCTGCCGCCCATGCAGCAGAGTTGATACTCTGGCAGAAGTTGTCCAACCTTCCAATGACACACGCGGCTACTGACCACATGCGGAGTTCACCGCTTGCAAGGGAAGGACGTTAAGGCTTCTGCGACTCTGTGCTCTCTTCCAACTTAAAAACCGAAACGCGCAACACCTTGCCTCAACAACACTGGCTCCCCGCAATCGTGCGCCCACCAAGCCCTGCAGCAAGCTGTGTGCCGAGGTAGCATCGTCCCAAGAAGCATCAGTAGCCGAGGCAGCATTCGCTGAACCCAGCTACAACGGCTCCTTGTTCAGCTTGATGCTTGCCTGGTTCTCTGCCGCCATGCAGCAGAGTTGATACTCTGGCAGAAGTTGTCCAACCTTCCAATGACACACGCGGCTACTGACCACAAGGGGAGTTCACCGCTTGCAAGGGAAGGACGTTAAGGCTTCTGCGACTCTGTGCTGTCTTCCAACTTCTAACTCGAAATGCGCAACAACTTGCCTCAACAACACTGGCTCCCCGCAATCGTGCGCCCACCAAACCCTGTAGCAAGCTGTGTGCCGAGGCAGCATCGTCCCAAGAAGCATCAGTAGCCAAGGCAGCATTCGCTGAACCCAGCTACAACGGCTCCTTGTTCAGCTTGATGCTTGCCTAGTTCTCTGCCGCCATGCAGCAGAGTTGATACTCTGGCAGAAGTTGTCCAACCTTCCAATGACACACGCGGCTACTGACCACAAGGGGAGTTCACCGCTTGCAAGGGAAGGACGTTCAGGCTTCTGCGACTCTGTGCCCACGCCCACCAAACCCTGCAGCAAGCTGTGTGCCGAGGCAGCATCGTCCCAAGAAGCATCAGTAGCCGAGGCAGCATTAGCTGAACCCAGCTACAACGGCTCCTTGTTCAGCTTGATGCTCTGCCCGCCATGAAGCAGAGTTGATACTCTGGCAGAAGTTGTCCAACCTTCCAATGACACACGTGGCTACTGACCACAAGGGGAGTTCACCGCTTGCAAGGGAAGGACGTTAAGGCTTCTGCGACTCTGTGCTCTCTTCCAACTTCTAACTCGAAATGCGCAACAACTTGCCTCAACAACACTGGCTCCCCCGCAATCGTGCGCCCACCAAACCCTGCAGCAAGCTGTGTGCCGAGGCAGCATCGTCCCAAGAAGCATCAGTAGCCGAGGCAGCATTCGCTGAACCCAGCTACAACGGCTCCTTGTTCAGCTTCGTGCTTGCCTGGTTCTCTGCCGCCCATGCAGCAGAGTTGATACTCTGGCAGAAGTTGTCCAACCTTCCAATGACACACGCGGCTACTGACCACAAGGGGAGTTCACCGCTTGCAAGGGAAGCACGTTAAGGCTTCTGCGACTCTGTGCTCTCTTCCAACTTCTAGCTCCAAATGCCCAACACCTTGCCTCAACAACACTGGCTCCCCCGCAATCGTGCGCCCACCAAACCCTGCAGCAAGCTGTGTGCCGAGGCAGCATCGTCCCAAGAAGCATCAGTAGCCGAGGCAGCATTCGCTGAACCCAGCTACAACGGCTCCTTGTTCCGCTTGATGCTTGCCTGGTTCTCTGCCGCCCATGCAGCAGAGTTGATACTCTGGCAGAAGTTGTCCAACCTTCCAATGACACACGCGGCTACTGACCACAAGGGGAGTTCACCGCTTGCAAGGGAAGGACGTTAAGGCTTCTGCGACTCCGTGCTCTCTTCCAACTTCCAACTCGAAACGCGCAACACCTTGCCTCAGCAACACTGGGTGCACGGTGCACCCCTGCTGTGCCGAGGCAGCATCGTCCCAAGAAGCATCAGTAGCCGAGGCCGCATTCGCTGAACCCAGCTACAACGGCTCCTTGTTCAGCTTGATGCTTCTGCGATTCAACTTGCAATAGTGCCGTGCACCAACTCTGTTGAAACGCTCTCATCACGGAACGACCAGCTCTGCAGTCTTACTTTTTGCAAACCAATGTAATTGTTGGCTCCAGCAACAGTCATCAGCACTTCAACTGCAACCTGCAGTTGTCAACTCCAAATGGGTGTGAGACTAACCTTAGGGTCAATGTGCCATGTTTTTGAGGGTACTGAAATTTGTGGGTTGGTAAAAATTTACCTGTAGGTAACCAACAAAAACACCAAATCACCATCCTTGCAAACCAAAAGGAAAACGGCTGGATACCTATCACAGTGCTTCCAGTTCCCATAAGTAGGCAAACCAGGTGTTGCCTCCTCTTAAGCTGTACACCATTTGCCCTGGCAGAACCCGTTGCCTAGAGCAGCGAAACGCAACTGGAAGCACCGGGTACAGGAACTGACATGGCCATGGGTCAAAATCCAATTCGTACCAGTGAGCATCCGATTCAATCCCCACTCAAATAGCCTCTAAAATGAAGTGGGTGCACCCAAAAGGCCCCCGAAAATGGGATCCAAAACGGCTTTGACCACGGCCGCCTCCATCGCTTTGGCGCCTTCCGACTCGGTGCCCACCGAAGCGAAGCTCGGCTCTCGGCGCCCCCGCGCGAGGCCTCCGTGGCCTCCTCGCCGGACTTTTGCGCGGGCCGAAAGGAGCCCGCCGGCCGGCGCGTCTTTTTTGGTTCGAGAGCCCGCTTCTTGCGGGCCCCGTTCTCTTGTGGGGGAAACAGGGAAACCAAACGGGAAAAACCGAGGCTGGTTTGGACAGTCCGACCTGAAAACAGACATACCCCAGTCAAAGCAATCCGTCGCGAAACAAAACACGTCAACACAAGCTCAAGTCTCTTCAAAACGCGGAAAGCTGCAGCGTTGCTGTCGGGGGGAGCAGATTTCGCAAAGCTCATCCCCTGAAGCGCCCCTAAGGCATGCACCCAACTCTGTGAAGCCTGTCATTGCTGCCTCCCTTAAACAGCAGTGCGCAGCCAGCTATTCCTCTCACCCGGTGACATCAACGCCAGGGGTACATTCAGCTTGTGGATCCCCGAATGCTGACCCCTTTTATCCACCCTCCACTTATCAGCGGTGGTCCCTTTCTGGTGGGGAATGCTTTCTTCGAGCGGGACCCCTGATTAACAACCGGGGAAAAGTCTTAATCAGGGGCCAACATGTGAGTTTGGAATGCAAAGCGGTCCTCGCTGTACTTGGCACGCTGCCGGAAAGACCCGTCGCCTCAACGGCAGAAGGCTTGTGGACCGAAGGACTTCCTTGCATGCTGTATGGATGCCCAACCACGTTCCGGCCATGTCGCCAAAAAAAAAACTCGCCAAAGGGAAGGGGACACTTTTGGGCAGGCATAAAAATAGGGACTTGGACCTCAAAAAGAAAGACTGGTCCCCTTGTGATGCCTGGCTTGACTGCGTCTGGCTGTCAGAGCCCTTACCTGGGGGGTGTGACTCTGAAGGTCGAATTTGGTTGGTGGCATGCGGTGTGCTGGCCCTGTACCACACCTAAACATTGAAGCATTGCCTTCTGACAGGTCTGTTGCACCGCGCTCCTTAGTACAGCTGCAAGCCGAGTCGTGAGACAAGCCGAACGGCTCATGCAACAGATCTGCTACTCGAAAACATGAAGGACCTTTGGCACCAATCAGCAAGATGAAGATCTCCAACCTTGGGAGAAGAATCTCAAAATGAAGATGAAAACAAATTCAATTGCAGCCCCCAATTCTGATGCCTGGTGAGAACCAGGCAGTAGGATTCTACGGACCATTCTGAAGCCAACTGCAAAACCGGTATTTCCTGGCCATCAGTGGGCCTGGGTCGCTTTTTTCCACCAGTTGACTTCCGTTGTCTTGGACCGCTTGCTTGGCGAGACCAAGAGAGGGCAGCCTTTTTCGATTGATCGCTGGCAAGCCGAGGAAACCCTGTTGGGGACAGAAGCATAACACCTTCAGATGCGTCACATTCAATCTACCCTAAGATGTTTCTATGTTCTTCTTCAAAAAAAGAAGAAAGCGCCTTTGGCCGGCCGGGTTCCTGGCTCATGAAGATCGACATGAGCTTCAAATGAAAACACAAATCTGCGCGATCGACCGCGTTGGATTTCCATAAATTGCTGATTTTTTGGTGTGGTGTTGGTTGTCCTGTGCCTTGACTTGCTTGTTTGGTGCCTGGAAATACTTTATGTGTTGATGTTGTTGTCTGAAGTCTGTCGGCATCTGCAGCCTTGAAGCGTCAGAACTTTGGAGTTCTTAGCCTACAACTGCGAGATTCTCCTGGACTACCTCGGAAGATCCGGCAAAGCTGCTCAATTCCTGGCCGTCAACACTAAAACGGCTGTATGAATTTCTGCGTGGGTCATGGTGGGTCGCCCTTTGCGCATCCGGATGTTGCTCATCTTTTGTCCGGTGTCGCCCGCAACTCCTGACTGCGCCCCGCCCCCTTGGGCCACAAGAGGCGAAAACACATCGGCGGTCGGGGAAAAATCAGAAGAGGAAGGCAAACCAACCATGGGAGTTGTATGGCCGTGACACAAGCAAGGGAACCAACCAAATATGTGGGTTTCTTCTTGGTGTCCGTAGAACCGCCCAAAAATGAACGCAAAAAAACAGTCTCAACCAGAAGGCAATTTGTGCAAAAGCCATGGGCTTTTGCAACATGTCATCCACCCAAAGCCTAAGCCCCAAACCCTTTGGCTTCCCGAAGACCCCGCAATACATGTGTGTCCAACCTGGAAACATCGACCCTTGAATAAACCCACCTGTCTGGGGGGGTTGCCTCAAGAAAGGATTCCCCACTTAGAAGCAGCCGCAAAACGTGGATGAACGAGTCTCTGGTTCCTCCCTTCGCGGTCCCTTTACTTGCCGCAGGCCTGATATCAGGGCCTAAATCACTGAAGGGGAATGCCATACAAGGGCATGACTTTGAATTCGGGACCCTTTGGTGCACATCATTTAGGTGGGGGTTCATGTGGCTATGACTTTTTTAATAAGGGACCCTTTGGTGGACGTCATTCACATGGGAATTCATGTCCACCAATCACGTTTGAGGTGGTTCCCTATTAAAATTCATGGCCATGTCCACCAACCACTTGTGAGGTTCCCCAAAAAAAGGCTTCATCGTCGTGGAGCTTCATGGCCGCGACCCCTCTTTCTCCAACTCGCATCGCCGAGCTTCTGGGCAGCGCTAGGCCTACGCAGGGCGAGTCGTGGGAGCACTCTTTTGGGGGAAGGCAAGGAAGGCAAAATGAAAGGGGAAAAGGGAAGGGAAAAAGGGAAGGCAAGAAAGAAAGGCAATTATGAATGTCCCTTAAGGGAAGGCAAGGAAACCAAGCTGTACGAAAAAACCCAAAGCTCATGCGTCAAGGGTTTGAGTTTCTCCGGTCCCGCAAGGAAAGGGGAGGGAAAAGGTTTGAGTCCTTCGCTTTGGAATCCACGTGTCTTGGGAAAACCAACGTGTCATTTTGCGGGGGTCACGCTTTGCGCACCCTCTCTGAGGAGCCGTCCGTGCAAACCCGAAAAATCCATCAGCCCTCGGGCCCCATGCATTCGTTTCATTCGAGCTCAGGGCCCGGCCCTGATTTTTTCCCATCCAAAGGGAAATCAAGTGAAGATCCATCCAAAGGCAGAAAACGAACACATCCGACATGTTTGGCCCTTCTTGGACACCTCCGAAAACCGCCGTCCCCCCCCCCCCCGTCCCCCAACGCCTTGCGCTGGGACTTGCGGAGGGAGAAGCCCTCCGCGGCGTGCTCCAGGAGGCAGGTCCTACCCGGCCCAAACATGCCCAAACAAGGCCCTAAGCCTGGCTCTCAAACCAACATTGGCTGTGGTTGTCAAAACCCAATAAACCCTGGTGAACATCAAAATAAGTGCTACAGGGGTGTTCATCCGCCCCAAAATGAAGGCTAGGTTATGACCCATGGCGACATGTTTTTCCAACCCTGGTTCAAACATGTTTAACCAAAAGGAGGGCAGTTGCGTAAGCAACACTTGTTGAAACCACCTTTTCAAGGGAGCGCCAGCTGGTTCTTTCAATGGATTTTGCCCAATGCTGACCCTCGCCCTTCAGGCTATCTTTGGGACATGCCACCCGAGAATCCCATACAAGTTGGTATCCACAAAATGGCTTCGGCTTTCCCCTTGGTGTTCCGTTAAACCAACCTGAACGCTACCCTGAAAGAACACACACACACCCACACCCACACCCACACCCCCACACCCACACACCCACACCCACACACCCACACACCCACCCCCCACCCCCCCCACCCACCCACCCACCCACCCACCCACCCACCCACCCACCCACCCACCCACGCACGCACGCACGCACGCACGCACGCACGCACGCACGCACGCACGCACGCACGCACGCACACACGCACATGCATGGCAGTCAAAACGATTCCCGTGAAAGACTGGAGGGAGGGCTTGTGGACCTGAAAAGGATCCTGAAATCACACAAAACAAGCATTCCACTGACTGCTTCCCAGTTTCTTTGTTTAAGAAAAGCATCCACACCTGCCATGAAAGGTCTTTGAAGCGATCTTCGGGCTTTTGGAAAAGGCTCTGATCATAGAACGGACTTTTTTGGTACATCATGAAACCAGGTCAAGGAATCGCCATCTAAAGCAACCAAGGACACCTGTGGCTTTGATCAAGGATTTGTCTCTCTTTCCCCACACCTAAATGGCCATGGGTCAAAACCCAAATCGTATCCCAAGTGAACATCCCAATGGCCACTAGGGTAGTCTAAAACGGGTGGTGCACCAGAAAGCCCCAAAATGGGATCCCATTTGTTTTGACCCACGGCCAAATGGAAATGAGGATTCACACCTTGGAAGTCATGAGATCAGGTGGTTGTGAGGACCATGGAAGACTTACCCCAGCGGCTGATCGACATTTCAACACAACTGAAGAAGGAACCCTTCACTGGGGGAAAAAAAAACCTCAGCAGCCTTTACTATAACCAAAATTCAGCCAGGTGGTCGAACCACCTACCAAAATGGCCAGGGGTTCTGTCCCACCCAACGTCAAACCGAACTCCTCATCTGCTCCGCAATGGTTAGGCAGCCTGCAGCGAGACCCACAGAGACGAGAGAAAACGACAAGATGCGCCTGCGTCTTTGTTGGGTGCGCCTGCGTCTTTGTTGGGTACCCTTTTTGAGGCCGCCTTAAGGGGAGCCAAAATGAAACCTCCCATTTAACGGCTGAGACGAACCCGTGCGCTAGGGTCGACTTTGACGCGACCAAAAGGAGCCTTGGGGTTGGGGCCCGGATGACGTATCCAAATCCTGGAGTGTTTCAAGAGCTATTGGTTAGCCCAGATTGATCAAACTGGCGAGGGAGGTTTCCCATGAAGGATCCCCTGCTAGACCTGACCCTATTTATCAACCAAGGGTATTCATCCGCTTGGACCTGCCCCATTCAAGGAACTTTTCAAAACTTGGACGGACCTGTGACCTGCGTTGAACAAGCCGATGCCTTCCCAAAACCCAAAACGCGAGCCACGCTGCGCCAGAGAAAACTGATTAAGAGGAAACTGTCTGGAGGTTTGAGAGGGACAAACAACTGAAAAGCCAACTTGAAGGGGAACCATTACAACACCCAAAAAGGTACCTTCCGGCGCCATTTGAGCCAGTCCACCAGCAGAAAAGTGTAGCCAACACGTTTAAAGAGGCAAACCCACTCGAGCCACTTGCTCACAACCCGCTACGCTTAACGTCAGTAAGGGATAGCCCCAACCATAAAACGCTGAAGCCGCCTGTTCTATTCTTTCCATGCCCTGGGACCATTTCAACTCCAAGGTTTGACGACACCTAGTTTGGTTTCATCTTCTCCGAGCAGAACGGCTCCACGTCGCAACCGAGCTCCGAGCTCCGAGCTCCCAGCTCCGAGCTCGGGACCGGCCTTGCAGCGCCATGTCGTACAAGGGCCCGAACTGGCCATCCGGAACCTTGGACTCCACCTGCACTCGGGCTGAACGGCTTGGACTTCTTGCTTCCTAGCCGTAGATGGACGAAATCCGACCTTCCGCACCGCGGTTTTGGAGTGACCATGGTTGAAACCCATAAAGTTGGTTGGCAGTTGCAGGGGAATCGAAACATTCCAGGATTTCTTGGGAGGTGCGACATGGAGTTCGTGGAAGGCAGCGAAACCGTCGAGTGCGCATGTCCCTTGGTCGAAACATCGGCCAAGCACGAGCGATTTTCCCCTGAACCAGGGAAAACGTAAAAAGAGTCGCAATGGCTCGTGGCATTTGGTCCAACTCTTGCACCTTGGGACCCTCGGGCTCGTCTCCAGATGGAACCCTTGGTGCTGCTGGAAGTCACCAGGAAACCCTTTTCAAAAATGCTAAAAGATGCTGTGAGAGCTCTGATTCGTGTTCTGCGAGTGTCTGCGCTATGTGGTGTTGGAGCAAACCATCTTTGCTTGCTCGTCAAGAAACTATGCCAAGAAACCAAACGCACCCGGACCACCTTTCGCAACCTCTCACTGGCCACTGGTTGGTTCAAACAGCAGAAAAACAAAAAAAGAGCTGCAAATGGGGGTTGAGTGCCATCGGGGTGACTTTTGACCCTCAAAATGTCATTGGTTGTCCCTTTGTCTCAAAACGGTATACCCCACGTGTACGGCTTTGGGTTTGGTCAGACTTCAGATTCCGAACACCTCCGCAAATATGAGGCCCCTGGGGGCCTGGGGACCCTTTGCGCTCTCACAATGGCGGCCTCACTTGGGAACGCAGCTTATTTCACTCACTTAGGCACACAAAAACTTTCTCGCTCAGGAACGCAAACCACTCAAAACACTGCAAAGGTGGCGATATTGACCAGCGCGCTTCCCGTGCTAGCGTCGCCCCAGAATTCTCTAGAACGACCATGAATGACCTAAAATAACCATCCATGGCAAATCACCTGAAACGAGACAAGTTCATCGGTGCGCCTCCAGCAGCGACACACGGCGTGCCCCGGTGAGCGCCGCTACCAGGATTTCCGCGCCCCCCGCCTGCTCCTCCTGCCAAGGGATTTTTGTCCCTGTTGCCCAGGTTTGATGGTTTGATTTTGTTGAATTTTGGATGAGATTGATGGATGTTGACGGATTTGATGCTTTTTAACGGATTCTGTTGGATTTTGACGGAACGAATTGTGGCTGATGTGTGTTGGATTATGACAGATGTTTTGATGGGCTTGGAGTTTTGATGGGGGACCCCGAAAATGATGGTTGTTCCTAGTGCTTGAAGAAGGGCGGTGTCTTGAAGAAATTCTGAGAATTTCACCATGGATGTCCGTTTAAAGCCACCACAAAAAGGGCTTTTTCTCAAAAATAATCAACCCAATAGGGGGACACTCAGCTGAAGTGGTGGTTCCAATCGTTTCGCGGCAGGCGTGTAAGCAGCAAAGGCCCGAGGTGTCTTGGAGGCCGAAACCTGTGGAATCCATCGATGCTCACCTCACCAAAGACGAGAAAGGGACGTCCATTCCTCTGCCCAGTGCCAACGTGTTTTTGTCGAGTTGCCAATGTTTGCGTGTGGCAAGCTGGTATTCATTGAATGGCTATTCAGGGGGCCCGGAAGGGCGGAAAGAGCCCAAACAAAGCTCTTAGTAAGCCCTGAACAAGGCCTTAGTTGGGTTCCCTCCCCTCCCCCTCCCCCCCAGCCCCTCTGAGCTGTACCCACAGCATCCCTCCGCAGGTTTCAAAGGTCAAAAAGCCGTCACAGAAGAAAAGAGGAAGAAGTGTGCAAAAGCCGACATTTGCCTGAAAGGAAATGTAGTCCTTCCATAGCAATCACCAAGCAAGGACTGCCAGCTCTGTGACGTAAGCAGTGCATTCGCATTAGTATTATTCCATGTTCAAATCACCAGATTTGGAAGATCAAACCATCGAAATGCCTCGAAATGCCTCGAGCCGCACGGACCAATCAGTCTCAGTCGGAAATGCGGCACTGAAGTTCGAGCCTATCGGAGGGGGCCCAGGGTCTAGGGCACAGCCCCAAGTGGAAGATCCTCTAGAGCTTTCTGAAATGGCGATCCCCTCAAAAAAAAAAACGGTCAACCAGAAGTTCGGTATTTTCAAGAAACACACTCTCTCTTTTTGCCGAAACTATGCCAAACACCACGACCCTCGGACCGTCTCAACTCAAGGAAAGCTGGATCTGACCAAACATCAAAGCTGGATGAAGTCCAGCGTCGCAGGGCTCCTGGCAAAACCAACCAGCTCAAAAGGAGGCAACCTCCAGGCCCCGTTGGTGATTGAACCAAGGCACTAAGATCTCCTGGTCACTACAACTTCCATTTGCGTCAGCCCACTGGAAAAATGAGAACATATGTGCAGTAGTGAGATCGATTCCCTTTAAAACCAGAAAGGGAACAAACGAAGACGACAGCTTTACTCGCTTTGCTGCTGCATTCGGGAAGCGCAGACCCCCCGAAACGCGCCTCCCTGCTCAGGTCCACCGCCAGTTTCCGGCCTAGCCTGACAGGAAGCGCCCAAGCCGGCTGCGGGGAACTCTAGAGATTTGCTTTTGGGTTTTTTGTTTTTTTTGCCAGGGTTTGGGGCGCTTTCTACTCAAACTCTGCGTTGTTTGGCTAATTTCTTGCAGAAACTCCTGCTGGTTTCTTGGAAACTGAAGGAAAGCTCTGGCGTGTTGAGCTTTTCGCCGGTCTATCACCTGCACGAAACGGAGAAGTTTGCAGAAGTTTGCGCCTTCAAGGATTGGGTGCAGTTTGGGACCCGCTTCCCGTCAAGTTCCAACAAAGCGGGCTCCAGGAAGCCCCACCCAGCCCGAAGCCCTTGTAGCAAGCGCGCGGCTTTCGCGGCGGATCGGATTTTTGCTGTTCTTGACGATGGGGTGATCTCCAAAATTGGGGGGGGGGGGGGGGTCTTCTTTTGGCTGGCATCCCCAAGGAGACCTTGCAGGGAATGGAACACACTAAATTGTGCATGCCGCTGGCTCTCGTGGTCGGCTTGGGCAGATTGGCTGATGTCCTCATCAAAAGCCTCGCTCTGGAAAAGCAACATACTGTGTGTGGATGGACAAAATCCGTGCGCACTAAAACCATGGATGAAACCAGAAGGTTTGTTAGTATTTGCAAGGGAATCGAATCATTCCAGGAATTCTCAGGTGGTGCAGGTTTTCGTCCATCCACAGTATGAAACTCCCTAAGACATCTTAGATATTATGTGGCTGTGGGTCAAAAATGGGTACCCAAGATGGAACCCTGGTAAATGGAACCCAGGATTGAAACCTGGGGTCCAATTCCTGGTGGTTGAATTTTGACCCACCTCCATGTGTGGCGTTGAATCTCACGCAGCTCCAATGCCAAGACCCCTCCCCTGCCCCCAAAGTCGCCAGTCTTGATACTTTTCATAGCCCAACCCCAACTCCAAAGACAACCCAAAAATCAGGAGCAAACTTTTGACACAAGTTGCCAACGCCTCACCCCCCATCCACTCCAACACATGTCCTTTGTTTGCCAAACCCTCCAGTTCCGCCCATTCCACCCCCCGGACCCAAAAAATAAAATCCCAGGGCCCCGGCATGCCGGAGGTGCACCCGACCACCAGGTCCCGCATGGGGATCCCCGCATCCGCCAGCGCCAAGGTGGCCTTCACGAGGCGGAACTGGGGCACCCGAAATGAGACTTGCTGGGAATTGGGTGGAGGACCAAAACAAACCGGGCCAAAGGAGTTTGCCAACCTGGTGACAAACCTGTTGTAAATTGGGGTTTATCACAAACCTTGACAAACCCAAACCAGGTAAAATTGCCAAGGACCCGGTACATGTGCTTTTTGGTGTATGTTGTTGTTTTTTCACCCCTACCCATCTTGTTGTCTTATGCTTCCGAAATACAGGGCCTTCCTCCCACTAGCAGAAGGCATTTCTGGGAGGGTACTAGGAGATCATGATCCTCTTGCGGGAAAAACAAACTGTCAGGTGCCATATTGGTGGGGTGGAGGGTAGAAGCCAGAGAAACGCCAAAGAATTTTGTCAAGGCTATGGTTTCTGCGATTTGCTCTCAAGAATCCCCATTTTTACTCACAAAAGAAGCAGCCAGGCGCTTAGATTGACGCTAAACCATGATCCTCTCCCAAAAAGTCGAATGAAGCCTTGGGGAACTCAGGAAGATGGAGTGTATGGCTCCAAAATGCCAAAATGCCCCGCCAGAGCTTTCAACACACCCTCACCAAAGTCGCCATGGCGATGAATTTGAATGGTTGGACCCCCCTTGAACAGTGGTGGACATAAATCCCCAGCGAATTTTGATGCCCACCAATTTGGGCCCCTAAGTAAAATTCCTGCCCATTTCGTCCTTTCGGACTCGTCTCAATAAGTCTCGACGGAATCTTGCAAGGTCCGAGACACTCGCGGCTGGTTCGAAGGGAGTCCGAAACTCCGTCTATGCACAAGGAAGGTGTTCAATCTTCACCAATGGGAGAATTTGCATTTTCCAACCACCAAACAAAGCTCTACGGAATGTAGCTGGACACCAAGGACAAATTCTGGGCCAAGTGTTGGATGCTCCCGCGATTTGCTGGCTTGTTTCTGCCTCGGGATCATTTTGGTGCCAAAGGAGTCGTAAGGATCCAACTTTCAAAGTTGGGAACGCACGTCCAGCCACAGGACCATTATGATCGGAGGCGATTCCCGTTCAGGACAAGCAAGTCTTCCGGGCGCCAAGCAGCTCCCAGGATTAGAATGAGAGTGCGCAACGGTACAGGCAGCTGGTGGGTATGGCAAGAACGGCCCCTAACATCACTATTGTTTTGGGGTTCTTCTGCCTGTGACCAAACAAGATGGTCATGAGTTGTTTTGTGTGTTTGTTGTCCATAATCTTGTTGGACAAGTGCGGCTTTCATTCGCATACAGCAACAGCCAAATACGGCCAAATCCTTGAACATGAACGGTCACATGCCCACTGGCCAACTGCTGCATACGAACCACATGCTTGCCCTGAGTAATTCATAAGTTCGGTCTTTCTCCTCTCGGAACATTCAGACCGCTGCAGTCTGAACAAGCTTCTGCGTGGGGGAAAGCGATCGGCTCACAGGGCCAAGGCACCAAAGAGGCGAGTGGGAAAAGAAAAATGATTCTTTCTGAAACAGCCGAGCCTGCTTGTTCCTCCGTTTACCTTCTGACTTATGGTTGGTTTTTCTTGCTCGCCCCAGTTTTTGTTACTCGCCCCAAGTTCAAAACACGCGCGTATTGGATTGGTGGTTTGGTGGTCTTCCGGGTGGTTTCCCATCTACCCACAAGAAGCAGGGGTCCACATCCAAACCAATCCAACCACCAAATTCTGGGAGCAAGCTGATATTTGGGGTCGTCTCGAAATTGAGAGACCCGACCAATGGTGGAGTTCCCTGTTGGTGTCGCCTGACAAAACCACCAAGGCTCACCTGAAAAACCGGGTTGGAAACGGGTCCCGAGCTCTCAGCCCCCAGCGGCGTTGATGGCCGCAGCCATCGCGCTGCCCTCGGCCTGGCGAAGGGAAAATCCCTGGAGCCGGGCGGCAGATTGGCCCACTGCCCCGGACTTGGCGCTTTGTGCCTTTTGCACATGTGGCTTCACGATACTCGGCTGTGGCTTGCTTTGGGCTGCTCAAAGCTTTCCTTCTGTGTCGAAAAGACTGCTGTGTTGGTTTTGGCGCTTGTTTGTGTGGGTTCGATTGTGTATCTCAGTAGCATGGATATAGAGAGAGAGAGAGAGTGTGTGTGTGTGTGTACATTTAAGGAGAGGATATGCACGTAATTGGGCCAAATCAACACCTTGTATTCAAAGGCTCTACCCAATGGTCACTCTGTACACTTCCGCCTGACAGCAACCCCTGGTTCACACCCTGGCTGAGCCGATTGACCCTCTACAAATGCATTTGGGCAGTCTACGAAAAAGAGAACCGCCAAAATCAGTCCATTTGGGCAGATTTGTTATGAGGTTCGTATCAGATCAGCAGGGGCACCTGCATCAGTGACAGAGAAAAAAGTACCCAGATACCTGGATACTGAGAAAAAAGATACCTTGAAATCCGTCTGAATAGGTTTCACTGCACTCCTTTTGTCTATCCGAAGTGCGCTTCCAGGAATTTGCGTGTGGCTGCGTTCCCAGTTCCTTCGATGCACCCGCTTTTCTTCTGATCAGGGACCCCAAACCCAGCACTGAAGGGCTTAATACATCCCTGACGGTTGAGTCTTTGGGGGTGTAAGGTCCCTGTCTCCAACACTACTGGTAAAATCCAGCAAGCTGCAAACTTCAGGTACAGAGGAAAGAAGGGCAGCCAAATACGTAGTAGGCGAAGTCCACTTCAATCTCCCAGCTTTCCATAGTTATGAGCCTGTCTGAACCCTCAGACCGATTGGTTGCAAGCCGAGTGAATATTGTACGAAGTCTGAAGACCTTCAGATCAACTGCAAAAAAGATGAAGCCAAAAAGATAGCACGCCCTTTTTGACGCCCAACTAGTATTTGTGGCTCCCGTGGTGGCCCTTGGATCAGCGCGCACAGCGATCTTCGCGGAGCCTGCAGGATCTGCACAAAGAGCCGGATCTGGGACCGCGGGTACCTCGGCTTCGACGGAACAAAAAATGCATGCATGCGCGCGCGCGCGGGGGTGGGGGCTTTCTCTGGCGACCGCTGCTTTTTGTCTCATCGGGTGGCCAATCCCTCAAGGCGTGACCGTCAGAAAGCGGCTGAGCGAAGCGACGAAGCCTGTTCAAACAACTGCGTGTCTTTTTGGGGGAACCTTGCTTTTGGTGGCTTTTACAGAGAAACCAAGAGGAAAACCACCATTCCCCCAAACCCTGAAAAAAGACACGCCCAACTGTTGAACAAAAGCTATCAATGACGAGTCCTGAAGGACAGCCTTGGATGCATCCAAGCAAACGTCAGACCCTCCATCCGAAGCCCCATGCTTGCATACCTACTCTTTAGGCCAACTTGACCATGGCTATAAAAACAGTCTTTAGCTTTTATCGGACAAAATCATAGCCAACGGAACAATGCCATTGCTTCCAAAGTAAGATAATAACTGGTATGGCCTGAAACGCTCCTTGAACAGAAGGTGATCACCTTTTGGCCCCTGGCAAAAAGTAGCCCCGCAGGAAACCAAAGGGAAAACAAGCGTTTCCCAAGTGGAAACAAAAGGAAACCCAAATTAAGCCAAACCGAAACCCCCTTTTGGACACCAAAAAGTTCGAGACCAAAAGACTGCACCAAAAAAAAACACTTGCTGGTAGAATGTCGGAATGAACCTGTTTTGGGCTTCAGAACCAACAAAAAACGGAACGCCCGGGTCAGTCCCTGCCCACGTCTTTCATTCCCCGCTTCCCCGCCCGCACCAGCAGGCAGCGTCATGGCCGGGCCGCTGCTCCAAGAGGATGGCGCTCTCGAAGGTCTGCTGCAGCCACATGGACCGCTCCGAGGACCTCCGGGCGAAAAAGTGTTTTTCGACCTGACCCCAAGTGGCACCAAAGTGGATGGTTGCGAAATCTCATAAAATGCAGCCCCGTTCAGAAACCCTGGAATGATGATTCGATTCCCCAACGTAAATACCAACTCACCTTGTTTTCAACCATGGTTTTCTTAGGTGGTGCAGGATTTCGTCTTGTTGTAGGGGTACCTTCCATTTCCATTCTTTCCAGGGATCCTTTCTAGAAAACCTCCGGAAACCCAGTAAAAGCGGCTAGTTCTTGAAAAGAACGATGGTTGAAAAGAATGGGGAATCAAGCCCTAGAATGAGCCTTGTGGTACCAAAGTGAACTGTGGAGAGTTTGTCGCCGCTCGTGCCTGGCCCTAAGGGGGTTGCCTTGGTCTAGAGCTTTGACCCTACCCGGTTTCCCACGAAGGTGCGAAAAGGATCTGGGACTGGCTAGGTTTGACCAATGGAATGATCTTTTCAGACGCTCGAGCTTTGACCCCCATGCCAGAACTCAATAGTCACACGGCTTGGCGTCCCTTTGAAATGCATCCAATGCCTCCAATGCCCTAATGAATCCCGGCGAGCCACACAAAAAACAGCCCTCTGATCCGTTTTTTAATTGTGAACCGGGGAATCGGGGCCAAGAAGAAGGCGCCATCTGATCCAAGCGGTTCCTCTGACCAGTGCTTACTGAGCTATTTCCCCGGCTCAGATCCATGGAGCATGCGAATGGGCTCAGATGGAGAAACCTATGCACGTGGGAACAGGCGGGAAATGGGAACAAACAGAAAGGTTTGGAACAGAAGCTTCCAAAAGCAAGACTTGCCAATACGGAACTGGATCAAGTGAGTACAACTGGCAACTCTTAGAGCCAAATTTGACTCGAATAGGCCTTACAGCACCTAGCGTACCATGCGTACCAACTGACCAAGTCAAGTGGATGACAACCCTTTTTCTACCACTCTCAATCGCATTCGCCAAATGTCACCGATGACAGGTCAGGGCTGTTAAACTGAACTTCGCCACATGGAGGGAAAAAAAGAAGAAAAAACGGACCCCAAGATGGGTGGTGTTCCCTTTGCTGTGCTTTTAACCCCCCCCCCCCAAAGAGTCGCACCAAATGTCACCGTTTTGGCGCCCCGGCTGCCGGTCCCGACCCCCGAAGCGTCGCTGGCTGGCGAAGGTGGCAGTGGACCTTGCGGGCGGCGGCTTCGGCTGAAATCTCCGCGCGCCGCCGCTGGTTCTTCTTTTGCGGGCGCCTTCTGCACGGCCAGGTGGTGAGATGCGCTCCACACGATCGGACCGGCATATCGCCACCAGCGTAAGGTCGTAATGTGGGTTCTCCGGGAGTTGCCGCGTTTAAACTTACCGAATGAGCCAGAGTCGTATATAATATGACTGATTTGACCGTGTAAACTACGTTACACCTCCCTTTTCGCTTCAGCGTTTCGTCTGGCGAACTGGTGGTAAACAGAATCTGCCCTCGTTGGCCTAGAGGTGCGCATTCAGCTTGAAGCGCTGGGTCGTGTATGGGAAAGAGGGGATTCTAAAGGTTAAGCAGTTGAGCTTCCGAGAAGTTGAGAACGGCGCCTAGCTTGAATGTCCGCGCAGTACTGAAACTGGCAAGGAAAGCAACCCTTCTAGCAGGGTGTTTAAACATTTGAGTGAAAGCTATGGGGCCTTTGGACATGTTGTAAGTAGTGAAACCAAATCCGTGTCGAGATTCCTCTCGGACGGAGACATGGGATCCAACTTGAGTAAAGCTTGACTGGTCACACATCGCCCCGAGTGGGCTGCATTTCAGTGTCCGTTTGCGTGCTCCAAACTGTCACAAATATTTAGCCGAGACGTCCGAGTACGTCCTCCAAGTTGAGTGTACGGCAATCGAAATGGAGTCCTACTACAATTTGCGCCTGTCTGTGGATTCAACTCGGTAAAACCGGTCATGATCATCAGCCCCTAAGTGCGGGCGCGGTCCAAATTAGAACCCCCTTCTTCTTTACCCCTTGAAAGGAGGAAACAAAAAGTGCCCATCCACTCGCAAGGAGATGTCCACGTTGTAACCATCCCACCGGCATATGCCAATCTCCCGATCCCAGGGACTCCCGGCAGGTTGCAGACCAAGACGGCGCGGTCGTGGAGCGTCTGAGATCGCTGCTTTGCCTTCAGCGAAACGCGGGAGACATAAACCCGTTGATTTTGATTGGGGGTGTCACGAGGGGATTTTTTGGGGGGAGAACAGCAAGCGCTTCTTCTGTTGTCCAAAAGGAAAGAGGTCTTCTTGTAGTCTGCGCACTTCCATGGGAGGGTAAGGGCTCAACCACACTTATGAGGCTGCCTTTGTTTCTTCCAGCCCCACGGCGCTGCTAAAATCTCTGATGACTTCACATGAGTTGCTCTCATGACTTCTCAGGTGCAAAGTCGGCCGATTCGGCAAGTCCTGAAACAAGTCCACAGGTCCACAGGTCCACAAATCTGTTGGCCCATCCGCCCCACTTAAGCGTCTTCCTTATGGGCGGTGCCCTGAGTTGAGGAAGGAAAGCCAACCCCAAGGCTCCGATTTGTGAGGTGAGGACTTTTCGATTTGTCAGCGTCTGTTGACCACATGAGGTCCACTGCTCAAAGTTTGTCAGGATCCACCAACGCTTCTTGATCAATATTCCTGGCCAAGTGATGCGAACTTTTCCCATGTGGTTTAAATATCAAGCATTGGTCAACCCCATCGTGATGAAAGGACCTTTTGATCAAGATCGGCCCATTCCGATCGCCTCCATAGGCCCGTAGACGTAGGCAACAGCCTGCGTCGAACGCTCAGGAATGCACTCCCAAATGCCGCCCCTGGCGTTTCGTAGCCTAGCAAACAGGGGCACCAACTCAAAAAAGAAAAAAAACAGGAGCCGCCCCTTTGCGTGGACCTTTTCTTCTGCTCCAGTGATCAAAGCTGCATCTACGCCTATGACGCTGCCACAAAAATCGCCCCGTTTGCCTGGGATCGGAGCCCCACCTTGGTGCTGCCCAGCTCGAAGATGGCGTAGCCATCGGCCTCCCGGCCGAAGCCTCAGCGTGCAGCCGGAAGAAGCCACGACCGGAGGGGGGAAGCGGAGGAAAGAACAACGAAAGAGGAAAGAACAACGAAAGCGCCGTTGAACCGTTTCATAAATGGTAAATCGTTGTGTGTGTTTTCTCGCGTTTGGAACACATATTCATGCAAGCACCGAAGTTAGATGCTTTTAAAGGGTCGATAGAATCTTGACCCTAATGCGCGGTTTGGTTCCAGGGCACACGCTGCTACCAAAACCCGAATGAAGGAGACCTAAACGTCTTAGACCCCTGTGGTAGAGATGGATGGTGTGAATTCTTGAATCCACTTACCTATCACCAGCGTGTTTCTCCAGAGGGGGCCACCAGTTGATATAACTCAATGGCTCCACCAACCTGTTTGCAAGGGTGTGCCCACCAAGCAATGTCCCCCTGTCCGCCCTTGTGATTGCACATCAAGGCCCCACCTTTTCTCCCAGTGTGGAAACCCCTTTGCCCACCAAAAACTCTTGAACACACATAGTACCTCTTCAAATCCACACGAACCAAGAGAAAAAGGGGTGTGGGGCAGGTTGGTCCAACTTGAGAGGTTGAAAAAAACAAGGTCCCCAAATGAAACTATTGTGTTCAAACCCCTCCTTTTGGTTTCTCTAGGCGTTTTTGGCCGCTCGTTTGTGCCCAACATGTGCCGCGTCGTTTTGAGGAAACCTTCTCTGGGTTTGCCTCAAAGGAAATCGCAGGAAAACAGCTTGGTCCATGGCACCGGCTACACGGGCCAGCACAAGAACTGCGTGTTACTAAGCAACATGGTAACCTCCCAACTAATTTGGTCAGTGCATGGCATCCCCTTCCAGCTGACAGTAGTCGTCATTGTACGTCCCACCCAAACATTGCATGGAATGTGGGCGCGGCCCTTCAACTGGCAACTTCATGATGCAAGCTGTGGTCCTTCCCGAACAAAACTACTGGAGCCCAAGAATCAAGGCGCGACAAAAACGAAAACAAAACATAAGGACCTCCTCTTTGTCTGGGGAAAAAACGATTTTTCCCCAGATAGCTGAAAGCTATAGGGGTTCTAACTTCTAATAAAGAGGGAAAGTGATTTGCGAGATTGAGGGCCGGGTGCTAGGGGGCATGCAGTTTGAGGTGCTGGTGGATGCTGCTTTGCGAGCTTGACGGCCGGGTGCTAGGGGGCATGCAGTTTGAGGTGCTGGTCGATGCTGCTTTGCGAGATTGAGGGCCGGTGCTAGGGGGCATGCAGTTTGAGGTGCTGGTGGATGCTGCTTTGCGAGATTGAGGGTCGGGTGCTAGGGGGCATGCAGTTTGAGGTGCTGGTGGATGCTGCTTTGCGAGCTTGACGGCCGGGTGCTGGGGGGCATGCAGTTTGAGGTGCTGGTGGATGCTGGCCGGGTGCTCGGGGGCATGCAGTTTGAGGTGCGCTTGACTGCCGGGTGCTCGGGGGCATGCAGTTTGGGGTGCTGGTGGGTGCTGCTTTGCGAGCTTGCCGGGTGCTAGGGGGCATGCGGTTTGGGGTGCTGGTGGATGCTGCTTTGCGAGATTGAGGGCCGGGTGCTAGGGGGCCTGCAGTTTGAGGTGCTGGTGGATGCTGCTTTGCGAGATTGAGGGCCGGGTGCTAGGGGGCATGCAGTTTGAGGTGCTGGTGGATGCTGCTTTGCGAGCTTGACGGCCGGGTGCTGGGGGCATGCAGTTTGAGGTGCTGGTGGATGCTGCTTTGCGAGCTGACGGCCGGGTGCTCGGGGGCATGCAGTTTGAGGTGCTGGTGGATGCTGCTTTGCGAGCTTGACTGCCGGGTGCTAGGGGGCATGCAGTTTGGGGTGCTGGTGGGTGCTGCTTTGCGAGCTTGCCGGGTGCTAGGGGGCATGCGGTTTGCGAGCTTGACGGCCGGGTGCTAGGGGGCATGCAGTTTGGGGTGCTGGTGGGTGCTGCTTTGCGAGCTTGACGGCCGGGTGCGAGCTTGACGGCCGGGGGGGGCATGCAGTTTGGGGTGCTGGTGGGTGCTGGTTTGCGAGCTTGACGGCCGGGTGCTAGGGGGCATGCAGTTTGGGGTGCTGGTAGGTGCTGCTTTGCGAGCTTGACGGCCGGGTGCTAGGGGGCATGCAGTTTGGGGTGCTGGTGGATGCTGTTTTGCAAGCTTGACGGCCGGGTGCTATGCAGTTGGGGGTGCTGGTGGGTGCTGCTTTGCGGGTGCTACGGGGCATGCGGTTTGGGGTGCTGGTGGGTGCTGCTTTGCGAGCTTGACGGCCGGGTGCTAGGGGGCATGCAGTTTGGGGTACTGGCGAGCTTGACGGCCGGGTGCTAGGGGGCATGCAGTGTGGGGTGCTGGTGGATGCTGCTTTGCGAGCTTGACGGCCGGGTGCTAATGCAGTTTGGGGTGCTGGTGGATGTTGACGGCCGGGTGCTAGGGGGCATGCAGTTTGGGGTGCTGGTGGGTGCTGGTTTGCGAGCTTGACGGCCGGTTCTAGGGGGCATGAAGTTTGGGGTGCTGGTGGATGCTGCTTTGCGAGCTTGACGGCCGGGTGCTAAGGGGCATGCAGTTTGAGGCGCGGGTGGATGCTGCTTTGGTTGTACCGGGTGCTAGGGGGCATGTTTGGGGTGCTGGCGGATGCTGTTCGCGTGTAACGGTTCGTGGCTGGTGTATCGTCATGATGTTCCCACGTTATGGTGTGTGGGCGTAGTGGCACCGTGATGCTGTCAACATCAGGATGATGCAGAATTTCATTAAGCTGTCGCAAGATGGTTCGTGGCTGTGGTATCATCATGATGCTGCCTTTACCATCAGCATGATGCTGTTCGCAATCATGATGCTGTCCGCATCATCATGATGCTGTCCGCATCATCATGATGCTGTCGAACTCATCAGGACCTCGTTTTTGCTTTTTTCCTGCCGGATTGCTCTCAAAATCATCATTATGCTGCTGATCTCATTAGGACGTTGTCTGCGCGTTTGTTTCGTGGCTGTGGTGTCATCATGGTCTACATCATCATGATAATGCTGCGTCATGGTTCGTATCCGTGGTGTGCTATCTGGGGTCTATGCTGGTGTAATTTTTTTTGGGATGCTGGGCCGCTCTGAGCAGCGGCCTGTTCTTGTGCTTATTTGGCTGTGGGTAAAACAAAAGGTACCCAAAATGGATCGGCAAATGGACACATCGACCAAGACCTGCGGGCCAATTTTCCTGGGGGGTGAATTCCCCACGTCATTGTGTGGGGTTCTTATCCTTATTCAACCCGCTATTCGTCCTTGTTGAGGGTACCCTCTGTCCGGAAGGTTTTGGGGGGTCCAACCTGAACAAAGACATCCCCATATGACCCTTCTATACCCTGGTTTAACCAGGTAGCTCAAATGTGGATGGACGAAATCCTCCACCATCTAAGAGTCCCTAGAATGATTCCATTCTTTCCGTACCAACAAACCTTTTAGCTTCAGCCATGGTCACTCCAATGGATTTCGCAACGGGCAGTGGCTCGGATTTCGCATCGAGCGGCCGCCCACGCTGCAGCTGACCCCCCGCGGCTCCAGCACTCGGCGCCCATCCGCGCGAAAGCCTTCGGACCAAAGTTGCCCCGGTGTGGCTTTGGGTGTCTAAGTCGACCCGGAAATGGCGGAGGCGTCCTGTCCAAACGTCCAAAATATTGAAACACAACAATTTACCTAACTCAGGTTTTCTTGGAACCAGGTTATAAACAGAAACCGCTTGTCCCAGAAATGCCCCAAAGGTTCCAACTTGAGTCTACCAGGTGTAAATATTGGAAGTAAACCAGACTCCGCCAAGAATCGTTGTCTTGTTTCCCTTACTTGCAATCTGCAGGGCATCCGCCACACGATGGCAACATGGAACCTCATTGGGTAGGAAATCTTGGGGACCCGTTGGGAAATGAACCTAAACCCCGACTGGGGGGGGAAACCATCGGTTTGAGGGTCATGCCCTACTGGGCGTGTCTTTTGTGGGGGGACTCCCAAAATGGACACTGGCTTCGGTGCTCCTTTTCCCCTGAAAATCCCTGGAAGGCAACCCTCAAAGTTGGACACACCCCACTGGACTTGGAACAACTCGGTTTCCTCTGGCCCAGTTCCAACCACTGGGTGCCACGCCCCGCGTGACTGTCCAAGGATGCCCCAGGTTCCACCAGAACTGGGCCGCTTCCAAAATTGGGTTTCCCATGAAACCCGGCAGTCCGGACACCTTGGGCAAACAAAGGCTTGCGGGGGGGGGGGAGGGAAAAAACAAAGATGGAGGAACAAAAAGCGGAAGTGGCTGAAAACGAGGGAAAATGAAAACAATCAAACCAAGGAAAACAGAGGGGGTTACTAAAAACAAAGGGTTGGTCAGTTAGGAACAATCAGTTCCACATCTCCAAAGACCCCGAAGACCCCCATTGGAGCCATCGCCTTCCGGAGTGATCGCTTCCATCGCCACCAAAATCGTGACTACGGAGAAGGTGATGGGTTTGCCCTTTGGTTTTGGTACAAACGGCCCGTGTTTATTTGTTTATTTGTTTCTTTGTTGTTGTTTTTCCCCGTGTCTTTGGCCGTGTTTTTGACCTGTTGCGAGGTTGTGTCATTGCCTAGTCTGGAGATAAGCCCGAGGGCAAACACGACGAAACGTGAGACACCTTGGCAAGACTTGATAAGGCACGTAGGGAATTGGACCACTTAACACAGGTTGGACACAGGACTTCTGCCGGAACCCTCCGGCTGCTGGGACTTGAGGGTTGAAGCTGCCGTTTCGCTTCGGCATGGCACATGGCAAATCGAGTGCCCAGGACTGAGTGTTGGTCCAACCCAAGGGCCACCAATTCGCATTGTGGCAAGTTGTCGATCATGAGTTTGTCTCAAAAATAGGGGAACCCAAAAATGGGTGGTGTCTTTTTGGTTCCTTTGAAACCATCCATTCAAGGTACCCACAAAATTACAGACCCATCTGCCGAAGATGCGCCGACCTCCCCAGCAGCAAGCTGTTGGAATAAATTTGGCCTGAACAACCACACGATCTTATCAATGAAACATGTCCATCATGTCCTATGTGTGTGTGTGTGTGCATCTCTCTTGTGTATCTTTTCGCGCATCTGTCTGCAGCAAGAAAGGATAGATATCCCACCAGCCACATCACTGCTGGCACTGTGCCTCGTAAACTCTCAAGTTAGGCTTTCGGCAGTGAACATTTGCAAGCGGCCCAGGCTTGAGTCTATGCAACCCACCAGGTCTGCTGCGAAATTGGAAGGTTCTCAATCTCGGAGATCCAGCCGTCCTCCTCTGGAAAGGGGCTTGCCAAAAGCGTAGCCAAGCACATATCGCACCGGTCCACTGCAAACAGCTCGGCACCTCCATTGCATCTGCACACAAAATAAACTCAAGCTAAGCGCTGGCCGCATGAGCACGCACTTCACTGGCAGGCAACCTGCAGACCATATTGTGCTTCTCGTTGAACAAGTGTTCGGTGCCAGCAACCGCAAAGGGCCCATGAGTTGCGTTATTTGCGAGTTCTTTCCGATAGCGCAAACAGCTCACACTGATTGTCAGCTGCATTGCAAACATGTGCTGGAGTGAACTGCAAGTCTTGCAAAGCAATTTGACCGAGTGCCTCTCTTTCCAGCTGCTTGAAGCCGTCCATGGTGGCCGCCACTGCTGCCGCAGCCCACACGGGGAAAGAGTGCAACTTCTGCCGCCAAACGCAAAATCGCAAAAGGGCTCACCCGAAATGATTAGCATCATTGGCAATTGCGCCGCATGATTGTCAGCCGCATTGCAGACAGCTGTGCAGCGCCAGCAGGTGGTTTTGCAAATAAATGCATTCTATCCTACGACCAACACTCTATAAACTCAAGGTGGGAAGCAGGGTTCGGGCAAAGCTTCGCAGGGGCAGCCAGCTGGGCCTAGGGCGAAGGCTGACCGCACAGTGCTGGGACGAGTGTTGCCCCACGTCGGAAGGCCCCACATTATTCTGCTCGTTGATCAAGCGCGCAGAACTACTTCGCAGAACCTCTCGCACAAGCAAAAAAGTTCGCAGAACCTGCTTGCTGGGACCGCAATGAGCTGTCCCTTCTTTCTCTACGGACAAAGCTTGGGCATGCAGGGGCAGTCAGCTTAAGGCGAGCGCACTTCCCTAGCAACCGCAAAGGGGTTACCCGAACGGATTGGGAATACGGATCAGGCATTTTTGCGAGTGGTGTCGGACTCAACACGCACGCTGGTTGTCAGCCGCATTGCAGACATCCATGCGGCACCAACCACCACGCTTGCAAACGCCCAACCGGCCACCGACACTTCAGAAATTCAAGGTAGGAAACAGGGTGGCTTGGATGCAGGGGGAGAGTCAGCTACGCCACGAAGCATGAAGCTCATTCATTGGAAATTGTGACAGCAGCAGCCGCAAAATACTCACCTGAGAGGATTGGAATATACGGAACACGCGTTGCTTTCAAGTGGTGTCAGATAGCACATATGGCGCAAACTCCTTGCCACCCGCATAGCAGACATCTATGCGGCACCAACCGCCACGCTAGTAGGAAGCAGTGTTTGGGCAAAGCTTGGGCAGGCAGGGGCCGTCAGCTAGGCCTAAGGCGAAGGCATGCACTGGGAGTGTTGCCAAAAACGCGAGATGCCCAGGTTATGATCAAGTGTTCGATGCCAGCAAGCGCAAACGGCTTACCTGAACTGGGATAACATGCGTCGACTTCAAGCAATGCCCAACAGCACATACGGCGCGGACTGATTGTCAGCCGCATTGCAGACAGCTGTGCGGCGCCAGCAGGTGGTTTTGCAAATACATGCATTCTATCCTACGACCAACACTCTATAAACTCAAGGTAGGAAGCAGGGTTCGGGCAAAGCTCCGCAGGGGCAGCCAGCTGGGCCTAGGGCGAAGGCTGGCCGCACGAGGTCTCACTTTACTGGCGTGTAACTTGCAGTGCTGGGAGTGTTGCCAAACATCTGAAGGCCCCATACTATTGTGCTCGCTGATCAAGTGCCCAATGCCGGCAACTACAAAGGGCTCACCCACACAGTTTGCGATATGTGCAACATGCGTGGTCTTCAAGATGTGTCCAATAGTACGTATGTGGCGTACACTGATTGTCACCTGCATGTTGAACACGCGTTGTTTTCAAGTGGCGTCAGCTAGCACATACGAGGCATGGTCAGAATTTATAGCGTCCCGAACTGACATGGGAACTTGGGAAGTACCCCATGTCCTACTTGTATTTTGGTGTCAGCCCCTTACACTGGCCACCTGCACTGCAACCGTCCGAAGCCAAGCATCACACTTGCAAATGCGCCAACCGCCACGCTTGCAAACGCAGCCACCAACACTGCGCAAATTGAAGGCAGCAAGCAGGGCGCGGGCAAAACGTGGTTATGCAGGGGCTGTCAGCTAGGCCACGAAGCATACGGCGCGGACTGATTGTCAGCACTGCAGACAGCTGCGCGGCGCCAGCAGCTGGGCTTGCAAATGAATGCGTTCTATCCGGCCACTGAATATACTCAAGGTAGGAGGCAGGATGCCACCAACCGCAAAGGGCTCACCCACATGGTTTGGGATATGCGCAACACTCCTGGTCTTCAAGATGTGTCCAATAGCGCGTATGTGGCGCAGACTGATTGTCACCTGCATTGCAAAAAAAAAACACCGCGCTTGCAAGCGCTCCCTAAGCGACCACCAACACCGAATACACTCAACGCAGGAAGCAGGGTTCAGGCAGAGCTTGCGCAGGCAGCAGTCAGCGAGGTCCGTGAACAGCGTGAACCTGTTTGAGGCAACACAATCAGCTGTCCCTTTCTTTCCCGCAATACAGCTCATTGATTAAGATGACACCAGCAGCCGCAAAGTGACACCTGCGGAGAACATGGTGCTTTCAAGCAGTGAAAGCAAGAGCACACACAGCTATTCTAGGGCTAAGGCGGCACCTGCCTGCCGCATGCGACGCATGCTTGGCATGCTACCTCCTGACTCCTGACGGAGCATGAAGCTCGTTGATCAAGATACTTTCGCCAGCAGCCACAAAGGACTCAGCCGAGCCGCTCATCACTGGGAATTGCGCTGTCTTTAAATTGCTGGCGATACAATCGACACGCACTGGCTACTCGCGGCGCAGGCATCCGCGTGGCTTTCACCATCCTTAGCCCGTCCCTACCAGCATCAGGAATGGTCAGCTGACCAGGAAAGTTGAAATGGGGGGCAGACGTTGACGCAGTCAGCTCTGGAGGGACCCAAGTCTTGAGGACAACTGTCTTGCGAGCAGGTGACCAACCACAGCCGTGCAGCCACTTGTAAAGATGTTCCCACTCGTCAATCGAACAAACGACCAGGCAACCATCTCGAAGAGCAACCAACACAGCCGTTCTAAGCCCTTCAGCCAGCGGCAAGCAAGCAACCATATGAGCAATCCACAGCCCCCCGAACCTAAACCCTGAAACCCTGGCCGAAAGAACACGCTCCGGAACAGTTCAAAATCCGCAACCCCGGCAGAAGCCTCTTCCTTTTGAAGCGTTAAGCTAGGAGATCCCTAATCCGAATCCGTAAGCCGCAGTGGGACACCAATTTCCCACAAGGGAAGCCACTACCACCATCTGGCAGAAGCATTGCGGATGAGTCTGAACGAGCTGAAGGTTTCCAGCTGTAGCAAGCACTCAATAGTCTTGATGTGTCAACTCCCCCAAAAGTCTTTCGGGAACGGCGTACGTGACAAACAAAAAATGCCCTGCGCGCAATGTTTCCTCCTCACGAGTCCGGGTCTCTCAACTGCTTGCGAAGCAAATCGCTGGGCAAAAACTTGTTGCCGGACACAAGGGGCGGTCTCAATCACCTCTGGCTCAGGTAAAAAGCTAAAATGATTTTACCAGACATTGGATAGATGGCGAGTCCCAAACGAGGGACTAAGTGACCTGTTCGGATCTTGAACAAGTCATTTGGGGAATGGGCGAATGGGCTCCAAGCCTACCCTCAGGCCACCTTTGAATTACCACTTGAATCCATTTGTCTACCCCCAAGGTAATGAAGAAATGAGCCCTGCTGCATGTGTGATGCTTCAATCAAGTGATTTGAGTGGTACATTCGGACTTTGATCCGTTGCGATTTGACCAAGGTCAGCCGCTGGTTGGCAACTGGTGACAGGGCCCAAAACTGACAGACTAGCAGCAAGTGAAAGCCGAAGCAAACAAGTCGTGCGCCGTGCATTGTTGATTGGTCGATGCTTTTGCGTGTTTTGTGTTTGTTTTCTTTCTTTCTTTTTAAATAAGAAGGAGTTTCACGCGAGGCGAGTCAAAAGTCCTTGTGTGGCAGAGAAAAGGATTGGACTTTGCTGGATAGGGCATTTTCAGGTCTGGGTGTTGGTACGGAGGTATACCACTTGTATCGTAAGGCCCAAGAGCTCGGAGGTGCTCTAGTGGGGCTCGGAAGCTCTGGCGTCTCAAAATGGAGAACACCCTCCCTTGTGCACCTACCGCAAGGAACGACCAAGTTGACGCCTTTTTGTGGATCCCAGCCGAACCCTAAACTCAGCGATCGGTTCCTAAGTTGCACGGCTGGTCCCCAGATCTGATAACTCATAACCCATTGTCTGAAAAGGAGAAAAAAGAAGGCAATGAACCAAAACTCGATGCAAAAGGAGAACAGCGAAACCCGCAGAAGAGCTGCATGTGAACCCAGAACCCCCGCCGGCGGATACTAAGCGCCTCCAAATGTCCCACCTGCCTGGCTTCTGAGAGTGTATCCATGCACAAGCTGCTCAGAAGTCAAGTGGCTTCGACCCTTTCGGATGGTTTTATGGCTCTTCTGTTTGGAAACACTCACTGCAATCATGCCAACCTCTCTCAAACCAGCGGGACTCTCAGGACTCTCCGCGTGCACGTGTGCACGTGGCGCCGCGAATTTGCGTCCAGGATGGACACCCGAAAAGCGAGACACTCTAAATGAATGACGGGCGCATTGGGCACGATGACCCCAGAACTCGCCTGCCGGACCTTCCAGCTCAATGCGAAAGTGAGCGAAACTCAACAGTCGAAGGTTGGAAAGTGCCAAAGCCCTGCTAATTCTGCCTCATTTGAGCAAAGGGGTCGCTTCCACGTGAATTCCACCCACCCACCCGCCCTCAGCAAACGACATGTTCTTTCTTGTTCGCACGGCATTTGCCCACTGCGATGCTCCCCGGCTGGTGGCACTACATTGCGCCAGACCAAGCTCCAGGTGGTCGCCGGCGGGTGCCCTTTGGAAATGATTTTGGGCCTCTTTCGGTCGACGCCAAAGCCACACGCCCTTCCAAAGCAACGCGCCCGGGGATCGATCGCCACTTCTGCACCCCGCGATTCAACGGCGCTGCCTCAAAGTGCAAAGGTCCGAAAGGAATGAGCGAAAAATGAGGTTCGCAGACCCCGTCAGCTGGTCTGACTTGGGGGCATCATGACTGCCGGCTCCAAATCGCGGCATGCACGCACCTCTGCGTCCTGGAACGATCTTGGTCACTTACCTTCGGCTTCTGCCGACTGTCTCATTGAAACCAAAAGGAATCGGGACATGTCTATCATGCAAAATCTCCCCCCCCCCAAAAAAAAAAAAAAACTCGGAATGGAGAAAATACTATCCAAAAAAGAACAAGATCAAAACCAAGATCGAAACCAAGACCCAACTCCGTGAAACCGGCGTCGGCCGTGCTCCCGTGCTCCGCGAATGGAATTTCAGGCGCCCACCCAAAGGCCCTCGCGGCCCGAGCTTTCCCGAAGCTTCTTCCAGAAGCTGTGGGTCTCCTGGATGACCTCACGGGAAGGTTTACCAAGGCCCTGCTGACTGGCTGGCCGGCTGGGCTGGCTGGGTGTGGTTGGGGCCTTTTCAAATCAGGCCGGCACCCAATGCAAAATTGCAAGTGGCAAGTGGCATGTCGGTGTGATCTGAACTTTGATCGACAGACTGCAAAACGAGCACCGACTCCTTCTCTGGGAGGGTATATAAGTCTGTGTGTTTCACGGGTATAGACATAGAGAGCGCCATCGAAACATGCCAGGTATGTTGTCCACTTGCCCTGAAATTGTGGTGGTTTGCGCGGCAGGATGTCCCGACCTCGGCAACCATTTAGCCCGGGAACCCCAAACGAGCACCGCCTCCCTGTTTCCCTCTAAACCAAACTCAAGAGGGTCTTTCGGTTCAGGGCTTGTGGAAAAAAACAGCAAGCAGCAGTGCAGGGAACCCAGCCACGCCCGCTATTCCCATGGGGGCGCTGCCCCCCAAATCGAACAGCGCAGTTCCCTTAATGCGGATGACTTTGCCCTTTTTCCTGGAAGCGGAGGGCTTGTGAATAGGATGGTCTTGCAAAGCCAACGGCATGGTTCACTGGTTGGAAAGAGAAGAGGGTAAGACCCCCCGAAATCAAAACCTGGTACTCAAGTGATCAACCAAAAACCAGGTAAAGAATCAAGAGGGCTGATAGGGGGTATTGTTCGGGACTGGGGCACCCCTTCGTGTCCGGTCTCCTTTTCGCCTCCACGTTCCACGTGTGCGCAACAACATGTGTGTGTGTGTGTGTCAAAACCATGGACCCCTCTGAATAGTTGGTTTCATGTTGCCTTCCCTAGACCCGGGAAGCATCGTTTTGGCACATACCCGTTTGTCCGAATCATTGTCCCATGCCGCTGCTACCCAAAAAAGCACCCAAAAAAGCATGTTCCTTCAAGGTCTCAGCATGACCTCAAAGTGTCTTTGTCAAAGCCAGACATCGGGCGGATGAATTTGGGAGAGCTGGGAAGGTGGCCAATTCTTTGTCGTCCCCCCCGAATCAACAGACCAAGGGTAGCGTTGTGCAGCCTTGGGAAAGCGAGCGGCTTTCGCCGGCATCGCCGCGAACCTTTGACAGGACTAAAAATGGGCCAAAACGGGCAAACCAAAAGGTCAAAAGGTTGATTCGCTTTGGGGCCTTCGTGAGGGGATTCTAATCAAACATGCAACTCCAAGTGAAAGCCTTCAAATGTCTGACCAACTTACTGGTGGGTTCCAATGAAATGTGCACTTCAGATGTCCAAAAACAATAAGAATCCAGGCAGCCCTGAAGAATGCTCTTGAAATGGCAGCACGAATCCGCCAAATGTGTGCCCCTTCCAAAAAGTAAAGCCACCCTTCTGTTTGAGTGGAGGAAAAAACCCTCGTTTCAACCCTTCGGCCAACCAAAAAAAACGCCGGGGACCACCACCAAACCCGACGCGAAGCAAAGGGAATTATCTCTCCAGAGGGGAGGGAACCCACCGAAACGACCGCGGGAGAAACGAAACCACCGGCCTCGACCGCCTGGGGGGCGTCCAAGGCCGCCTCTTCGAAGCCAAAGCGGTTCAGGCCCTTGCCGTCGGGGGTCTTGTACCTAGGGATCCCCGCCGGGGGATCCCTTTTCTTGCGAGAAATGCCCACGGGAATTAGAGAGACATCCAATGACCCTGAAAAAGCCAGCCACCTAGGGATCCTGTGCGAGTGCAGGGAATGAGACATGGAATGACCTTTAGCCATCCAACTGGTGGTTTCCTTAAAGGGAATCCCCAGGTCATTCAAAGACTGGGATGGGTCTTTGTTCAATGAAAGAAGCGGAAACCAACCGTCTCACTTTCGATCGAGCGGACTGGCCAAAGAAAGTTTGCCACTACAGTGCTTGCCACTAAGATGCGTCCCAAATTGCGAGAAGCGGAACAAAGAAAGCATCAAAATATTGTTTTAATATGTTTTTTTTTTGTTTACCACAATCTTAATTAATTTTGATTGTTTTTTCCACCAATTAATGTTATTATCAAAATCATCCCACCCTAGACACACCCTAAGCCTGTCCCAGACATTTACCCACCTTCGACACACCAAGGGATCTTGGATGGGCTTCGGAAGGGAGAGGAACGAAGCAAGCTGCCAGAAGTACCAAGTGAGACCCCGCATGGGTTATCTGAAACATCTTGGATGGTTTGAAGAGAAAGAACCGAAGCGGAAAAACCAACCTCAAACTTGGAGAAACTGTACCTAGAAAGGGAGAAAGGAAGAGAGAAAGGAAGAGGGAATTTGGATTTTTGGAGAAGCTGTACCTTGGTCTCGAAGCGGATCAAACATGGTTTTTCAAAGGGAGAGGAAACCAAGCTGCTCAAAAAGTACCTAATTTGGGAACATCCAACAAGACCCCCCACAATCTAAAAATGATAATATGATTTGAAGAGAAGAAGGAACCAACCTGCGAAAGTACCTAAGTTTCAAAAACATCCATAAGGACCTGGGATAGAGGAAACCAACCTGCAAAAGGACCAAATCTTCACGGATGGGAGGGGCTGGGCCTGCATCGGAAAACCCAACACCCTTTCAGGGCACAAGGCCCTTAAAGCGGGCTCAGTCAGATGGCACCAGGGTCTTCAGGAAATTTGTTTAAAAAAAAATGAAAACCATGAAGCGTTTATGCAGGGGTGTTAACTATGCCCTACAATGGGTTTTAAAGGGAACACCAGTTTAAGGATCCCCTCTTGTTTCGGTCTGGGTGATAGCAATCACCAACCTATTGCCTATTACGTCGAACCGTGGATTGGAGGTTTGGCCAATGGGAATTTTAGTGTGTGCCTTTCAGAGCAAACGAGGTGCTCAGTAGGGAATATCTCAGGGTTTTGGGAACAAACCATTCCCTTAAGGCAAATCATAGGGGATTGTTTAACGGGGTCCTTCCATGTCTCATTCCCTGCATTGAAGCTTCCCAACCCCTGCGCGGAAAAAAAAAAAAAAAAAAAAACGCCGAAGACGTGAAGCCTGTTTCACGGTATGGCTAAAACCCGACACAACACGGAACCCTCCGGAACTCGGAACCCGGAACCCCATCCACCCGACCTTCCGGAACCCTCTTGAGGCATGGGAACGCCCCACTCCCGAAGCCTCCATTGCTTTCAGCTAGAGGAACGAAACAAAGTCTTTTGGATCTTTTTCAAAGTGACATCCCATCCAGGGAGATGTCCTTGCTGCTCTTTGAAGCTCCCTAGCTTTAGACAAATCCATTTGCTGCCCGTTGGCTTCCCAAACCTGCAACTGTGAAGTGGGACGCTACCCTCTCGCGACCTGTGCCCAAAGTCACCAGAAGTCTTCTCAATCGGCCATGGCCCTGACTTCTCCAGCTTATGGCACATGAGCGCACTTTTGGGGCTAAAACCGTCAAAACCGCCATCAAAACAAAGGGGGGAACGACCAAAAACCGCCATGGTCTTCGGGCCCAGCGGCCAGCGGAACCACTCCCGGACGCCAGAGACCACCCCGGGCAGCTGCTGCTCGAGGTCTTCCACCGAATTCCTGACCCACGAAACTCGCTGAAATAAACGTCGAACATCCGCACGAAGTCAGAAACCCATGGCTGAAATGGCTGTGGCCCAAAAAAACAGAATTCCCAAAATGGAACCCCGGTAACTCGAAACATGGACCACAACCTGCGTAACCCCTCCTGTTTAATTTTGAGCCACACCCAAATCGAAGTGTTTGTTGGTGTTTACCTTGGGGAATCAGCCGAAATTAGGGTTTCTGAACGGTGGTGCGGAATGGATTTCGTCGATCCACAGTATGCTTGGACATAAATCCCCTAAATGCCCACCATGGGTCCTACCCATATTGCAAGTGAACCAACCACAACAACAAAACCCGGGTAAGTTGTGGTTGACAGGGTTTCCGTGAATTTCCTGGCAATTCTTGGGGCACCCCATAGATTCCTGCAAAGGTGACCTTAGGAAACGAGTCAAGGCGGATCCACCTAGAGTGACCCAAACATCACCGGATCCTTTTTCTCGGGATTTTCTCTGAGAGCCATGTAGATTGGGGAGGGATCAGCTTAGGCCGCAGAGTGTCTCAAACAGGGCGTGCGACACCTACCTTCCGATGTTTGGTCCCAAGGTTCTCATCCGGGACTTCCGCACTTGCGGGTTGCATATTTCTTTCCCAGCCAGTGCTTCCAGGCCTTTCGCCACTAAGGTAACCAGTGCTTCAGCCATGTATGGTAAAACCCCAAGGAAGCCCTTGAGATGACTGGGCCAAACTGGAAGCACACCTAGCCGTGACTCTCACTTCGGCTTGGAGCCCCGGCAGCTTCTTGGCCAGGGGGTCATCCAGGCCGATGCCCAGAATCTTCCAGTCCTCTCCGAAATCCAGTTCCCGGGGTGCAAGGCTCGGGACGGCGGGCCGGCGGGCGGGCGGCATGTCTTGTGCAAAGCTGGCCGCCCCCCAAAATGACAACTGGGGGGTAAAACGAAACGTGAAACGAGAACTCGCGCAGGTTCTGGTGATTTTTACACTCAAAGAATGAACTTTCGAGGAAGGAGCACGCCAGCTTCTGATTTCCCAAAACCCAAGTGACCCAAGTGCAAGGAGGCCAATGTCTACAGTCCTTGGCTAGTTGTCACGCAAACGGTTGACCTACGCCACTCCGGGGACCCAAATTGGTGGTTTATGCCACGGAGGCGATTCCCGCAGCGTGCGGATCGGCGGATCGAGCGATGGGCGGTCCAGCTCGCCGTCATCGATCATGGCCAGTGCCCCCAGCACCTCGGGGCGCGACTTTGCGACTTGGCGACTTCGCCCTCGCGGCAAACCGGCGCCGACGAATTTGGACTCGGAACTGCGACTAAAGACCCTTGTGGTGTAAAGACCAAGAAGTCGCCCTAACACAATCCGGAGAAGGGAACAACAAAACATAAACATAAAGAAGCAAGAAATCGTGCACGGAGGGAAAAAAACAACATCTGGTCGGGGGAGGTCCATTGTCAGAACGTCCCCACCTTGACCTGGACGAGCTCACCCTGCTCGTGTGTTCTCGAGCCCACCTCTACCTCAGGCCGAAAATGCCGAGCGGGTTGCTTGGGTCTATGTTTCTTTTCTCCTGGTTGCTCTTTTTTGGGGGTTGGTTTCAAGGGAAACCAAAGGGGTATGTGGGATTGATACCCGATCTGATACCCGATTTGACAGGGACAAACCACATACCAACTGGTGCGAAGTGGTTTTTGTGCATCCACCGATCTTATTCTCTTTTAGGTGAGTGTCTGTCCACCGACTGTATTTCTCCGAACTGCATTCCTCATTGAAGTTCATAGCATGGGGCCATGCCCCTAGCCACAGGAACTCGGGATCCCCTTGCCTGAGAAATCCGCCGAAGACTCACCCGACTCTACTTTAGCCCGAACCGCTTGGCTTGGCAACGACTGCGGGCCTTCGGCCTTCTGAAGCTGAAAGTGGCCGCAGGAAAGGATTCAAGTTACAGGAAAAGGGGCGCAAACAAATCCGGAGGTTTCCAAATCCTCCGGGTTCCATGTTAGTTGGCAGGGCAGTATGTGTTCCTTCTTGGCTTCTTGCCTTCTTGCATACCTCGTCAAGCCCCATTTGAGTCACAATCACCTGGTACAATAATGGTGAACCCAGAACCATGTAAAGAAGTAGAAAGGCGGCCGCAACTATTTCCGGCCGGGACTGCCCCTTACTAACGAATCGGTTGTGAGGACGTAGCTCATTTGAGATCAGCTCAGATTCCAAGCTACTGTACCCAGCCAACAAGCTTGACAATGTTATGCCAACTTCTTGACACTCAGCTTGCGTTTGATCCGCGCGACGTTTGTCTCGATTTGGTCCAAAAGCCCAGTTCAGCCTCAAGATTCCCAAAGTGTGCGAAACAAAACTTCCGACAAAAATCGAACAAACAACAAACAAGCCAAAACCAAACAAAAAGTAAGAAGAACGCAAAAGGAAAGCCAAAGCCCAGGGGCCACGTCCACAGGGTCGTTGTCCCCCTTCACCTTCAGCTCAGGGTGCTCCACCTCCGGATCCTCGCAAGGAATGGCCAGAGAAAGGAGCCCAGCCGAAAAAAACGAGAACGAGACCCAACCCTCCCCCCAACACCCACGCAACCACCCACGCCTGAACAAACAAAGCTACAAGTTTTGCCAAATGACATGGGAGACAAATCAACCAACCAACCAGGGAACCAGACCTAAGAAAAAGCCAGCCCTAGACCAAAAAACAACAAAAAACAACACCTCACCCCCCCCCCCAACCACCCCGCGCCCCCAAAAAAGAAGGCCACTGATTTGTCAACACACACGAACACAGAAAGATCAATGAATATAGAAAGAAAAACAAGTGTGTAGCTATGTGTCAAGCACACTTGCGCACACACGCACACACACACACACACACCATGAGCAACATTGGCTCAAAAGACAACCTTCCGAGGCTTGGCTTCCCTCTTCGGGTGGGTGTTTTTGCACCCGCCCCGAAAACTCCGAAAACCGCCACCGCTGGCTGGGGAAGTGTCGATAAGCTTCGACAGCGAACGGTGCAGAAAGCCCCTGAAGAGGATCTTCCCTGGTAGAGGTTTTGCAGAGACCCAGCCCGGAAAACCCGAAACCAGCAGCGCCGTTTTGCCGGAAGCGGTCCTCCCAGGTCTGCGGCAGGTAGCCGTAGTTCCAGAAGATAGGACCTAAAGGATCTGGTGAAAGGTTGAATAGGTTCTCCAGGTTGGGTACACTAACAGCCGGAAGCACCCAGACCTCTGTAAATCGAACCAGGTCTTCCAAAAAAAATCCTGGGAGCTCCAGCTTAGCCTGGGGGAGGGTAGGGGAATGCTGCAATTCGAGAATACCCTGCTTGGCACTTTCTGCACAAACCACTTTTTTTCGCATCACTGGAAGTAGGGAACATCCATGTAAGGAACTATCATCGCAAGTGAGCCCCCCCCTTTCCAGAAAACCCCTCGTGCAGGGCTCTGCTGAAAATGCGGATTCCCAAATCCCCGCCTTTCCCCCGGAAAACAAACGGACCTTCAGAAGGGTCTCCCCAAAAGAGAGGGTCCAAAAGGTAGTTCAAGGGTGTCAAGCTAAACCCTATCGGGAGCTCCGGAGAGCATCCACCTCCAAAGTCTATGAAACTAACAACTGTTGCGTGTGTATATACGTTATATATAATTTGCATATATGGGCATAAATATTAACTCGGGATTCTTTGGTAGACATCATTTAGGCGGGAATGCATGTCCACCAACCACTTTGCCAAGTTTGTATATATATATATATGCATCGTATGCATGTAGACACATGATAGATATGTGTCTTATATGACGGGATATCTCTGTATAGTGAAGTCCAAAAGGTCATGGGATCTAAAACCTGTATACATCAAATGATGCCAAATTTGATGCAATCAGCACCCCCATTACTGGGCCGCTCGCTGTGGGTATGAGACATGAAGAAAGATTCAGAGGGCTCCCTCCCTCCCAGTGACCTAACTACTCCGCTGGGCCCCATGCCCCCCATTTTGGCCCCGCGCCGTGGTATTCCCGCAGCTTGTTGTTCCTCAAGAAAACCAACCAAAAAAACGAAGGGCCAAACGCGAACCGATCTGAAGGACCGATGCCCCCCAAGCTGAGGTGAGAATGGGAAGACGATGTCCCATTCTCCGGGCTAGCGATGTCAGCGAAAGCCCGGTTTTGAAGCAACGAGCCAATTCGTCTTGGCAGTCGTGTTGGCAATCGCAACAAGAAAAAAAGGAGTCTGGCCAGCCCTACGGCGGCGAACTTTGGCTGAAAACAAAGGATCGCCTGCCACGGAGGTCAGGCAGGTGCGTATGTGCTTGCGTGGCCCAAATTCACAAAGGGGAAACAGCAAAAGCCGAGCACTGGGTTCTTCTTTCTCACATCGGCAAACCCCACACCCTCAAGGAACCAGGAACACCAGTCTGGGAAAGGCCAGAGAACACTGCCACGTCTTGGTCCTTTACACAAATAGAGAAGACCCTTCCCCTCTGACAAAACGGATAAAACACACACAGAAGAAACCTAAGAGCAAGTCGAACCGCCAACTCAACAGGTACGCCCAAGAATCTGTTGCTGTCCACAGAGTTGGACTCGTGTGCCAACGTTTCCACATGTCGCTGGGAGCAAACATGCACTGATCCTTCGTCCAAAGCTCTGATGCATGCGTATAGCTTGGCAACTTCTGTACCAGTATGTCAATGGTGTGAATGTTACATGAGGCCCTATGGTCATGCTCCTTTGGATGGGAATGGGGAACCCTTACAAAATGGCGACGTTCCTTCCGATTTCCACTTGCCCGGACTTCCCTCCAGGCGTCTTCATATCTTGCGCGATCGGGTTCAGCGACTCCTGTGGCACAAGAAATCGCAGTCCCGCCCGACCAAAAGGTCGCGCAACCGCTGGTTAGTCAAAACTAGGTTAGGGCCAAATGTTTGTTGCTCCACGTTAGAGGGAAAAGCAAACAAGTTTGCATAAGTCTCTTGGGGCATCCTTTGTTTTGACACATTCCCAAGCTGTGAGTCAAAACTGGTGGGACCGCGTTTGGAGATCTGGAGCTCCTACTATAGCCACCCGCACGTGTCAGTCACAGATGCCTGGCATCTTCTCATCGGAGCAACTTGGGACGAATGGATCTGGGTGAAGCGGATCTGGACCACATCCGCCTTCCCCTTGGTTACCCTCCACGGCACGTCTCCTACCTTCAAGCCATTGCTGAATTGCGCGGGGATCAACATGGGAGGGTCCAAAGCGGGGCAGACCGGGATGGATCTTCCTTTGGCTTGCTGTACCTTCAAATCAACCCCAAAACCCCAGCTTAGCCATGGTTGGGCTTTGAAAGGAAAACCAAGGCACGTCACTTTTTCGGGGAGGCTCTGGTCCCCCCATGTTGCCACAAATATTTGGCCTTGGCCTCGCGGGGCCGCCTTTTTGAGGGTAGAAAGGACCGCTGGGCCATTTCAGATTCGCTCATTTGATCTCCAATGGTCTCTTTCGAGATATATCGGACTCACTCAAATCCCTCTCAAGGGGTCCATGCGAAGTCTGAGTCATCCTCAATAAAGCAAGGGATGAGTCGGCTCCCTCGCCGGAGAGTCTAATTAGAACTCCGAATCCTCAATTTGAAAGGAAAATCTCCAGGCTTGACTCACGTTGCCGCATACGGGCATCTTCTGACCGTGGCTCTTGTGACTGAATTCTACATTTTGGGGGTTGGAAGGGACTCCTGAAGATAGCGAAGGTTTCCTTTTGGTGGTCCCTTCAAACACCATGTCCAGTTGTAGGACACCACTGGCTAGAGCAAAACAAGCTAAGGATGGGCCAGGCTTGCATCGACTCACTCCGGGTGGCCCCTACATCGACAAAGCAAAACAAAGCTGGGAAACATGACAGGAAGAATAGAGCCTAGCTCCCTGAAAAGCCAAAGCGGAACTTCAAAAAGCAACCTTTCACCAGGAGACGCCTCTACCCATTGTAGCAATACCATGTTGTCGTGGGTGCCGTGCTTCTCTGGTCAGAAGTTTCGCAAACCGTCTCACCGTAATCTGCAAAAGTACAGCGTACTGCCACCATGAAACCGCTGTCACCCTTTGTTCAGGGAATCCACGCCACTCTCAGGCAATCATCAGCTACTGCAAGACTTAAACTCGCGATCTCCATTGTACCAGGGCTGTGGGATCAAGGGGTTTTTCCCCACTTCTGTGATACAAGGGAATCTCCCTCTTAGGGGGGGTTAGTCTTGGGGAATCCCTTTTTGTATCAGAGAAGTGGATTCCATTTCCCACAGTCCTGCATGGTACCCACTGCAAAACGAGAACATAGAATTGCCCCATCTCCAACTGCCAGCTGCGGGGAATGGCCACCTTCACAAAATCGTTCCTTCGCGCTCTGAAATCTTGGGAAGGGAAGCCCCCTTCTTTGCCTCGGTGGCCTTGCTTTCATGCGAACCAAAAGGTACAACATGGTACAACCAGCCATTTTGGGGGGGAGGGGGGCATATTTGAAGCCACACCTAAATAGTTCGGGTTGTGCAGGGAGAGGGAGGGCAACAAGTCATTTAGGGGTGCTCTATTTTCTTGGCCAGACTTAGCCGCTGGCAAGAGCTATCTCTCTGTTCGAAAAGAAGAAAATGCAGAACCCATAAGAGCAAAAGAGAAAAAGAAGTGCTCCACGCCAAACGGATCATCGTTCCTCCCAGCTCCTTAGTCGCGATCTCCATCTTCGGCTTGGTCATCTTGGGGATCTCTGTGACCATCCAATAGACCCCCTCGGCCTCAAGACACAAACTCCAAACAGACCTGAAACCTGCTTTGCCCCTGGAAAATGAGGGGAAAACCTCCCGATGGGCCTTGTACCTCTTCGGGATCGCCAAATCGGTGCGCCGTTTGAAACAATTTGCGATGTCGTCAGGTTCCTTGGGAGAAGAACAAATGGATCGCTATCTTCTCCCCGCAGAGCCTTGTGACACGAACACGCTAGAAAGCATGTGAAACCTTGCCTCGGCAGAATCGTCAACCAGTCCCAAGAGTGCAGCAACCCATGACAAGCCCCTTATTGACGACACACGCATTGAGAGGGACGATGGAGCCCGGCCACAGCACATCTCGCTTTTTGTTTCTCCCCGAAAGAGAAACAACACCAAAACGAGAGATAAACCACGAGAGTGGCCCATCCCCGACAGCCCTGCTTCTCACTTTGCCAAACCCCCCCACGCTGCACCCAGAAATCACTCACAGCGCCTAAGATCAGTCGAGCGGTTACCGCTTCAGGTTCAAGCCGTCAACTTCACAATCCCGAGGATCAATATGAATCCGACGAGCCGAACCATGAACCATGGATGACCTTCCAAAAGAGAAACCTGCCTGGCTTATGCAAAGGGGCTGGATTCATGGCCAAATCCGCGTGGAGGAAGCGGATTTGTCACCCCCGCCACCCCCGCCAATTTGCCCCCGGCCTCGCCAGACAGCGGCAGGTCATGCCACGGGGAAATCTCCTGGTCGCCCTTCAGGAAGAAGCGCCGGAAGCTATCTGTGCCCTCCTGTCACAGCCATCAAAACTCCTATGTATGGCCCGTGGTCATGTTTCCCTCAACAAGAATCACGATGATTGTCAAGGATCCTTACCAGGACGACAATCTCAACGCTAACCCCAACCAAAGGACCCGGTCTTTTTGATCATGTGCGTAGCTTCGCGGGCCTCCACAATGTCTTGTCCCTCCCTTCTAAAACCCAAACGAACGGCTCCCCCCGAGTCTTGAAAGAAACCACTCGAGGCTGGCCTCTTCCCGCCTTCCCCCGGACCTCTGTGGTGATGCCCAGGGAGCGCAGCGCCAACCTGCGCAGTGGAGCTCCCCAAAAAGATGGATTTGGCCGTGGGTCCAAAATGTTGGACCGATTCCCCAACCAATGGCTTGCCCTGGTAAATGCAAAGGACTCAACCAGCGCTCCCCTGGTCTAATTTTGACCCATGCCCATTTTACAAGAGAACCAAAAGGAAGACCGAACCCATGGGGCGTCCCCAGGAACACCCATTTGATCGGGCCCTTGACGGCGGGTCACTGGATTTCCCCACCAAAACTTCCTCGATCTACGTGTGGCGGTCTCATCTTTTGGTGGCTCCGAGAAAGGAAATGCCTCGGTTTCTGTCAAACACAACCCAACCCAGTATGCCAGAACAGGAAGGGCCGAAAAACGGCTTCTTAGATTCCGTCAGCTTCCCCTCAAACCTAAAGTTGGCCCAAAAGATGCCGCACATTGAAAGCCACAAGTCCATTTGGGGCAGGGTTCCTTGTTTGCCCCAGGGAAAGAAAGCTCACCAATTTCAGCGTCACCTCGTGTGATCTCGTGGGCAGCCCATTTCAATCCGGAGCTTACGACTGGATTGGCATGAGCCATGGCGAAGCAAAGTCAGCCTACTCGGGCAGAAGGGGTTTCACACCCAAGGCCTTTCGGGCCACGTGAGATCCAATTCAGTGGCACAACAAGGGCCGTGTCACGGCACAAATGCGTTCTCAATAGAATTCGCATCAGAGGCCCCCAAGCTAAACTTGGGCGAACTGGTTTCCCTCAGGCGAGCTCGCCTCTAATACTTTGATATCTGTGTGCCTCGGGACATATGCTTCCGAAGGTTGTTCGCCGATCCCAAGTTTGTCAATGAAACGAATCAAATGGGTGACAGTCAAAAATAGATACCGACAATGGAACTTTGGTAAATGGCAACAGACCAACATGGACTCAAACCTTGCGGTTCCCAGGTGGTTTAATTTGACCCATACCCAAATGACCCAGGATGTTTCGTTGACCCAAAGCAACACCCCCGAAGGCCCCTTGACTGTCCCGCTTGCGGGGCCTTGCTGGAGGAAGCACCGGCCGCACGCCAGCAAAACACCTGGAGGCACTGTCCGGCTTTCACAAAATACACGAGGCTTGGAAGTTGAACAGGGCTCCCTATACTTCCCCCTACATCTTAAAGGAAACCCACTTGGAATCGGAAAGGGTGACACGTCAAACCGCCATGTGCTTCACATTGCGTCAGGCGGAGGACAGCAGTGACGTCCAAGCACTGTCTTCCCCTATCAAAACTCAAACACCTCTTTTAACCCCTACAGGGAAGCCACAATGCCATTTCAATATGTCAATGCGCCCGACTCCCGACAAAGAAAAAAAATGGCTACAGCGACATTCCAGCGTCACGTCGGGCAATGAAACCTCCCGCGAGATGCTGACATGGTGCTCCTTGAGAAATCACAACTCCCCCCTTCTCAAACTTGGGTCGCCTCCCCAACCCACCAAAAGCGCCCCGCCGAGGTGCAGAGAGGTGGCCCAAACTGCCAGCAGCAGCACCGCACATCTGCCCATGGCCATTGCTGCTGATGTGGGGCAGCGATGCGCTTTGACACGTTTGGTTTTAGGGCCCCTGCCAAAAACCGGCAAAAAAGAGGCGGGCTGTGACAAATTCTGACCAACTGGGGGTCCCTAAGAAAAGTTGAACTAGACTCGGGTGGGATGTCACGTCATATGTGTTTATCTTCCCTGAAGCGTTCTGAACGTGCTGAGCTCAGAACGCATGTGCGTTTCCCTGCGCTTCTGTGAAGCGCTGCCGTTTCAATCGCATGTTAGGCAAAACTCCGCTGTGGGGCCATGGTCATCCCGGAGCTGACGGTTGTAACTATCGCCAACGGTTGTAACTATCGCCAACGGTTGACACAGTGTTGGACCTCTCACAGAAAGGCCAATTCGATTCCCTGGCAAATACCAACAAACCTTGTGGTTTCAACCATGGTTTTAAAGTGGTGCGGTCTCGGATTTTGTCCATCCACAGTATGAAACCCTTGCCCTGAGGAGAGCGCCTTGGGCATTAAAAACTCAAAGCCCGCCAAACGCTGCCATGTTTCCACCTTTCGCAGGGAGCAGACATATTTGCCCAAGCCAACGAGAGCTCGCTCTTGATCTCACTTGCGTCGGATTCGGACTTTGCACATGGCAAGAATGCGAAAGCAAAGGCTCAAAAAGCTTGAAGATCCCAAGAGGGGGCATATTTGATTCGGTGCTGAAGTACAAATTTATCAAACTATGCACAGGGCTTTCAAGATGGCGATTCCTGCGCCTAGGACTTAAGCAAGGCCTTCGCCCCAGTGAGCACACCCAGGGCGCTTGGCAAGGCGAGCGCAGATTTCCCCGCTTCGCTCGCGGGCTTGGGCAAGTCCTCGCACACTTCACCATTTCTCCGCGAACCAGCGCAAAGGAGCCAAAGTTTTTGGGCACGTCAGAGGACTTGCGGGATGTTGGCATCTCAAGGCATTCCTTCGCGTCCGGTCCATTCCTTCGGGGGTAAGCCACTTGTCCGGCCGGAACCACTCGGCATGGAGAAACGCCGGCGCCAGAGTGAGGCAACCGACGTGCGACGGATGCAAAGGTCTGCCTCGGCAAGGTTGTGTGAGATCTGAGCTAGTAGTCGGCACACGCGAAGGCTACTTCTCGTGAACCAAGCATGGCGACCTACCCGAGTTGCAATGAAGAAAACCACCTGTGTCATCTGAGTCATGATCAAAGCCCGGTATTAAAATCGTCTACCCAGAACCATGTAAAGAATTAAGAAGGCGGTCGCGGCTATTTATGATTGGGAGTATCCCTTACTAGCCTTCATCTACACGAGTTTTTACTGTGGCTCATGTATTCTCTGGGGACCCTGTCAAGTTTTAAGCTGGCCACGCTCAGAGCCTTCAAAGGCCCCGCGTTGGCGGCCTGTGCACATGCCAAGTCTTGGCTGTCATGAGGCTAGATGGATTCTTTCACAGCCTCACGCTGCGCAAGTCGATTCTTTCAGTCCCACACTGAATGGGCTACTGGCAAGCGCGCTCCGGCCTTCTCAGAACAGGGGCCGACGAAATGCGATCCCCAGAGCACAAGAACCTGGCGAGCCAAACGCCTAGGCCGCGCGACCAGGTTCCCCCAGTGACTTACAGATTGAATGGATAGATTGGCGCTGAAACCACCGGCCACCTTTTGCAGCTGCCAAGAGGCCTCATGACCTCAAACAAAAGCCCTCGCATGCACGCCGCGCGCGCGTGAGAGACATGGGCTACCCTCAAAGCAAACATAGAACCTGGAGGAAGGTCCAGTTGCAGAATGCCCGATGCTGGGAGGTCATTTCCCAGGGGCTCTTAAGCGCTGAAGGACCCTTGAAACTCATTTTGCGAGTCACATTTTCCAGGCACCGGGCTTGCAGGCATTTCCGAGAGCCAGCGAGCCTACGCTCTCAGCGTCGCCTTCCGCAGGCCGGGAGCTACGTGGCAAAGCAGCGGGCACCGCACAGCGATCCTTTGGAGCGAGCCGGGCTCAAGCGATCCTGCCGACGCTCCGGCCCTCTCGTGGCCCCAGTCGTTCAGACGGAGAATGTCAGGCGAAACGCGCTCAACAGCAGACGCATGGCTCCCTTTTGAATAAGGTTGGAGCCCTCTGGTTCGATGCAGCAATCCGCACTTTCAACTGCTCACGTCTCTGATTCGCTAGGCAGCTCAAGCTCACACCTACCAGACCACAGTCCTATGAGCAACCAGCTTGCCCAACATCTAAGAATCAAGCTATTAGCTTGTTGGCTCCAGACCGGATGCAGAGTCTGCGCCCTCAAGCAAATGGTTGGTACGATCCTTCTGCACATCTTTCCCGCACTGCTTGGTTTGCTGGGGTAGCTTGCGTGGCAAGATGGTGGACTCATCTCCTCAAACGAGCAGCCGGAGGCCGGCTATGGAGCCAAGTGCTGTCAGCCAAATCCGTGGCCATTCCTTCCCTTGCCTATGTGCAAGGGGCAAGACTGGCAGCAATCTGGGCAGCATGGGTGCAGATCTCAGCGGCCGGCAGAAACTGAAGCAACTTGGAGCGCCCGGCCACCATTGAAACTTGCCGCCCGGGCCAAGCGACGCATCAACAGCCGCACGGAGGTCCGGTTTCCGGCGCACGGCAAGCGTCTGGCCCCTGAAGGCTGCGCTCCGTCCCTTCAAGTTCCAACTGGCCTCAATCCGACCCTCCAAGTTGCCCTCAGCTGGGCCTTCGGGGTCCACCTTACGGTCCAAGCGGCCCCGTGGCCCATAAAATCTCCAGCGCAATGCGCATAGACGACCCAGGCAATCAGCCGCAGCCATGCGCCGAGGTCCAAGGGGCGACAAGGGCTGAGCCCGAGCACGAAAAAGCGGAAAGCTGCTTCCCGCGTGCTTCGAACGTGACACATCCTCACCCCTGACAGAGACTCTGTGTCAGCTTCTGTTACGACTAGGGCTCCATCCCCAAATCTGACGCCTAAGCCGAGCCGTTCAACTGGATCATCCATCCCTCTACGGGCGGCAGCATGCTACCAAATGATTTCAGTCACACAGCCATGCACGAGCACGTTGAAACCATGTCCGCCAGCTGAATGTAGCCTGTGTTGAACTGCCAAAATTCCAAGCGGCAAAAAAGCGCACTTCGCTCTTAGCGGTCAAAGTTCGCGCCCCAGAATTGCAGCGGCGACACTGGCAAACCCTGGCAAACCCTGGCAAGCCCTCCGATCCGCCGATCTGATCCGATTCTGGCTCCCCTTGCGTCAAGCGCGGTCACTCTCGGCGGCGACGAAGCCGGCCTCACTGGCTCACCGCGAAGCCGGCAGGAGGCCGAAGCTGCAAGTTGAAAGTGTGGGAGTGCGCATCAAACTAAAAATGGCTGGTCACTGGTCCACAAAGTCCTTTTGCTAAACGAACACATCAGCCCTTCTTCCTTTCTCACCTCCAACCCATCCATCGAGACTCAAACTCGAGCCACAAGGCCTTTCAAGGGCGTTCTTCAGCTTCACTTCCGCCGAACGCTCCCGCGCAATGGGACTACATCCCAAAGCAATGCGTTTACCAAAAACCGCGCCGCTAGTCCTTTTTCCACGGGCTTGGGAATGGCTACCTTCACGGGTTGTCTCAGGTCAAGATGCGCCTGTTCATCCAATATGTTTCACGTCGCGCTTCACGAGTTTCCAGGATCACTGGCCCAGAACGCCAGCGTGCATTCCAACCATATATGCCAACGAGGCAAAATGCAGGACAGCGTGACTTCTTTTGCTCGAAGATTTGGCAGAAACAAGCACAAAGGCCTGTGCGTGCCGGCACAGGCACCCGTCTAAGCTTTGCCACCATGCCCACGAGACCAATTAGGCATGAAGCCGCGAGAAGAAACTCCCGGCTAAAAGCCGGAGCAGAAGGGAATTGGGGTATAAAAAGCGCACTGTCGTGGACCGCAAAGCTGTTTTGTTGAGGTGCAAGCATACCGGTCGCAGATAGTTTGCTGTGGCACCATGCATGTTGATGCGATGACCTTCCGATCGCTAAAGCCTTGCAAGACGGAAATCCGCAGTCTTCTGAGCACGTAGTTTCCTTTCGACAACCTGCACAAGGGCAGCGAACCGCCTCTGTTTTTTCACAAGTCCTTCCTTGCAAAGAGGGGCCCTCCCACGAAGAACGCCAACCTCTGTGGGGCAAAGCGGTGGACCAATGCTTTTGTCAGCGGCACCTCGCTTACTGTGCGCGCTTGATGCCGCTGTGACTCACAAAACGCAGGGCCGTGGCAACTGCTTCGGCCGCACCGGAAAACACTCAAGAAGCGGCACACGTGGTCAGTGGGTTGGAGGGGCCTTCTGCTCTTTCCGCCAGGGTGGAGCGCCTAGGCAATTTGGGGTCATTCTACCTGGATCTCGGTAGCTTGCAAGCTGTCCAATTGTGCTTGTGCTGCAGTGGCATTGGAGGCAAAGCTGGTAATTGCAAGCACATTTGCACGAGCTCACAACCAAAATCCTTAAGACAAGATACGCTGAGGTAGATTTGGGTGTTCTACAGTAATTTCCTAGCAGATTAGCTAGTTTCCTCACAAATCCACGGGCTCAACCGAGTCGGTGTTTGACGATAGGCCGAATTGGCCCCCCGCTTGCGAGCGCCGGCCAAGACGGGCTCACATCGAGCCTCATGCGTGCCAAGCTCTCGATAGTTCGCTTTGCCTCGGAATGCCCATCCAGCTGAAGAGCAAGAAGCACCGGTCGGGCCAAGTAGGCAAGCCGAATGCGGCGAACGGAGCATCTTCAACAGACTCGCCGCTGTGCCTCACTGAAGCCAGTTCGCGGCCAGCTGCTCTGCCACATCCTCCTGTTCTTTTTTCTCCACGTCACGTGGCTTTGCACGACCCGCGTTTTTTGCGGAGGCTCCGTCGCGAGTGCCAGGCGGCGCGCCAGCAGCGCGGACGTCGCCGGCGTCACCAGGAAGAAGCCGCCGGGAGTGGGGCGAAACGCCATGGACGCGCAAGCAAAGGACCCTTTTCAGAGCCGAAAGCCGAGGGAGGCAAGTGCTTCCAAACCAAGAGAGTTGGGATTTTTGACGTCTTGGAGATTTTTGGGGCTTAGTTCAACTCCAAACAGACTTCGTACACGGGCAGACGAAAAGGAGACTGGATTCCTGGCTTCGTCGCTTGTTTCCGAGTGGCTTCGTCGCCAAGACCTCCTTCGAGCCTCCACGCTTCAGGTTTAGCTCTGGACGAATCTCCTCCCCAACTTGAAGCCACCGCATTGGCTTAAACAAATCTGGGGACAATCCACGTTCGCCGTCCCACAGAAAATTACCCTTTGCTCCGACTTTACGGGCAGGTTTGGTTGACTCTTCCGCAGTGCACTGGGCCTCCAAGCCAAAGAAAGGTGGAAATCAGGGTGAAATCAATGTGCAAACCTGCTCGAAGCGGATTCTAAGGCGAGCTCCGGCTATTTTCCTCTGGCGCATCTTCGCAACGCTATCCAGCCTGACAGCAAGCCAAAACATAGACTCGCTCAGCCGTTCTCAGGGCTGCGGCGGTAGTAGGCAGGCTGGTCCGGCGATGGGCCATCCACAGTCGGGCCCAGGTAGCCAACGCCGGTCACGTCATCAGCAGAAGGCTGCCTGGCATCCCAGTCCAGAAAGGCAATCCAGGTGACGACAATGGGGACCAAGATCACAATCACATCAGTCTTGCTGAAGCTGTCTGAAGCCTGGTCCGTTGCCAGGGCAGGGCTGGCAGGCAGAGCAGCCAGCACCGCACCTGCCAAAGCAGCCTCCTGACCACGAAGTGCCGGCTGCTGGCCAGGGCCCGCAACGAACGCCTGATTCAGGGCCACCAATCCACAGGCCAGGATTGCCAGTGCCAGCAGCACAGGCTGCCTCTTGCCCATGATTGCGATGCGTCAGCCCCCTTCAGAGTGAGACCTCTGAAGAAAAAAAACACTGGAGCCAGCAGCCTAGCTTGCCGTGCAACCACATATCCCATGTCTTCACTTGCCCAGAAATACAACAGCACCTTTCGAACGAATCAAAGACTGGCAACTGAGGCTCAAGAAACTCCTGGTGGATCTTGGTCAGTGAGTTAAGCTGAACCCCCATCTGTGCACTCGCCATAAATCTCCGCCGCCTCCGCATTTCCCTGCGAAATTCGGAAGCCTCTTATTACCAGACAAACCACAGTCCCAAAGAACACCGAGACATAGTTGGCCTGAGTGCCATCCTTTTTGAAACTCAAGCTGCACTTCGCTGAGCATCCATCCCCCTATGAACCCCATGGACCCCAATTCTGGCAGGTCCCACACCCGAATTCACAGCGGTCAAAATTATTCATGAAAGAAAAAAAAAAGATTTGGCCATGTCAACAAAGTTGTAGGTCCTCAAATGGTCAAAAAACCAGGGCCAACCTTGAGCGGAAAGCAAGGATGAAAAAGCTCAATCCCCCCCCTCTTCAGAACCAAGATGAGGCCCTTCGCTCTGCGTTAGAGCCATATCTTCTCTGCAAACCATGGCTGGCACCAATTGCAGAAACGCCATCTGGCTGACATGCAGAAGGGCAAATAAACATTCAGCGGGCACATGAGTTCTGCTTTTGCAGTTGCCGTGTCATGGCTGCATAGGAAATCCAGAAATGACCACCACTCTGCAGAAACCCTGGGATTTGATTTGACTCCCTGTATATGAATACCAACAAACGTTATGGCTTCAACCATGGTTTCATTTTTTGCAGCGAAATGGCTTTCCCAACCATCAGCAGCTTGCCCTCGGCCGTGCTTTTTTGCCACCGCTTGCCAACCCTGTCGCATCCGCTTGTGAAAAAATCCTGGCTAACTCGCTTAGCCGTTCTCAGGGCTGCGGCGGTAGTAGGCAGGCTGGTCCGGCGATGGGCCATCCACCGTCGGGCCCAGGTAGCCAACACCGGTCACGTCATCAGCAGAAGGCTGCCTGGCATCCCAGTCCAGAAAGGCAATCCAGGTGACGACAATGGGGACCAAGATCACAATCACATCAGTCTTGCTGAAGCTGTCCGAAGCCTGGTCCGTTGCCAGGGCAGGGCTGGCAGGCAGAGCAGCCAACACCGCACCTGCCAAAGCAGCCTCCTGACCACGAAGCGCCGGCTGCTGGCCAGGGCCCGCAACGAACGCCTGATTCAGGGCCACCAATCCACAGGCCAGGATTGCCAGTGCCAGCAGCACAGGCTGCCGCTTGCCCATGATTGCGATGCGTCAGGTCCCCTCAGAGCGAGACCTCTGAAAAACCACTTGAGCCAGCAGCAACACGCGCCATGCCATCTCCCTTCAAATGCACAACGCTCACTTCTCTCACATTGCATGGCATGTGTGTGTGTGTGTGTGGCGATGCGTCTGCGTTACACACGTCACATGGCCTCGCATGACGCTGGACTGCCTATCTTCTTGTCGTTGCAAAAGTCAGGTCTGATGTGCCTGGCCCCCTGAACATAAGTATTAACATTCAAACATCACTCATGCTTCGAACTGGGGTCGCTTCAATGCATGTAGAACGTTGTTTCCCGCAAGCAGCCTCAGAGTGCGCCCACTGCTCTCCACATCTTGTTAGAAAAGCTCGCAACGCCTAGCATGCCTCTGCATGTTTTTTGCCTGCCACCTCTTGCGACGCGGTCTGCTTCCGGTGAAAATCCTAGCTAACTCGCTTAGCCGTTCTCAGGGCTGCGGCGGTAGTAGGCAGGCTGGTCCGGCGATGGGCCATCCACAGTCGGGCCCAGGTAGCCAACGCCGGTCACGTCATCAGCAGAAGGCTGCCTGGCATCCCAGTCCAGAAAGGCAATCCAGGTGACGACAATGGGGACCAAGATCACAATCACATCAGTCTTGCTGAAGCTGTCCGAAGCCTGGTCCGTTGCCAGGGCAGGGCTGGCAGGCAGAGCAGCCAGCACCGCACCTGCCAAAGCAGCCTCCTGACCACGAAGTGCCGGCTGCTGGCCAGGGCCCGCAACGAACGCCTGATTCAGGGCCACCAATCCACAGGCCAGGATTGCCAGTGCCAGCAGCACAGGCTGCCGCTTGCCCATGATTGCGATGCGTCAGGTCCCCTCAGAGCGAGACCTCTGAAAAACCACTTGAGCCAGCAGCAACACGCGCCATGCCATCTCCCTTCAAATGCACAACGCTCACTTCTCTCACATTGCATGGCATGTGTGTGTGTGTGGCGATGCGCCTGCGTTACACACGTCACATGGCCTCGCATGACGCTGGACTGCCTATCTTCTTGTCGTTGCAAAAGTCAGGTCTGATGTGCCTGGCCCCCTGAACATAAGTATTAACATTCAAACATCACTCATGCTTCGAAACTGGGGTCGCTTCAATGCATGTAGAACGTTGTTTCCCGCAAGCAGCCTCAGAGTGCGCCCACTGCTCTCCACATCTTGTTAGAAAAGCTCGCAACGCCTAGCATGCCTCTGCATGTTTTTTGCCTGCCACCTCTTGCGACGCGGTCTGCTTCCGGTGAAAATCCTAGCTAACTCGCTTAGCCGTTCTCAGGGCTGCGGCGGTAGTAGGCAGGCTGGTCCGGCGATGGGCCATCCACAGTCGGGCCCAGGTAGCCAACGCCGGTCACGTCATCAGCAGAAGGCTGCCTGGCATCCCAGTCCAGAAAGGCAATCCAGGTGACGACGATGGGGACCAAGATCACAATCACATCAGTCTTGCTGAAGCTGTCCGAAGCCTGGTCCGTTGCCAGGGCAGGGCTGGCAGGCAGAGCAGCCAGCACCGCACCTGCCAAAGCAGCCTCCTGACCACGAATTGCCGGCTGCTGGCCAGGGCCCGCAACGAACGCCTGATTCAGGGCCACCAATCCACAGGCCAGGATTGCCAGTGCCAGCAGCACAGGCTGCCGCTTGCCCATGATTGCGATGCGTCAGGTCCCCTCAGAGCGAGACCTCTGAAAAACCACTTGAGCCAGCAGCAACACGCGACATGCCATCTCCCTTCAAATGCACAACACTCACTTCTCTCACATTGCATGGCATGTGTGTGTGTGTGTGGCGTCTGCGTTACACACGTCACATGGCCTCACATGACGCTGGACTGCCTAACTTGTTTGTCCTTGGCCCCTTCACTTCAATATTAAACATTCAAACATCACTCATGCTTCGAACTGGGGTCGCTTCAATGCATGTAGAACGTTCAGCCTCAGAGTGCGCCCACTGCTCTCCACCTCTTGAAACAAAACTTCGCAACGCCGAGCATGTCTCTGCATGCTGTTTGCCTACCACCTCTTGCGACGCGGTCTGCTTCCAGTGAAAAATCCTACCTAACTCGCTTAGCCGTTCTCAGGGCTGCGGCGGTAGTAGGCAGGCTGGTCCGGCGATGGGCCATCCACAGTCGGGCCCAGGTAGCCAACGCCGGTCACGTCATCAGCAGAAGGCTGCCTGGCATCCCAGTCCAGAAAGGCAATCCAGGTGACGACAATGGGGACCAAGATCACAATCACATCAGTCTTGCTGAAGCTGTCCGAAGCCTGGTCCGTTGCCAGGGCAGGGCTGGCAGGCAGAGCAGCCAGCACCGCACCTGCCAAAGCAGCCTCCTGACCACGAAGTGCCGGCTGCTGGCCAGGGCCCGCAACGAACGCCTGATTCAGGGCCACCAATCCACAGGCCAGGATTGCCAGTGCCAGCAGCACAGGCTGCCGCTTGCCCATGATTGCGATGCGTCAGGTCCCCTCAGAGCGAGACCTCTGAAAAACCACTTGAGCCAGCAGCAACACGCGCCATGCCATCTCCCTTCAAATGCACAACACTCACTTCTCTCACATTGCATGGCATGTGTGTGTGTGGCGATGCGTCTGCGTTACACACGTCACATGGCCTCGCATGACGCTGGACTGCCTATCTTCTTGTCGTTGCAAAAGTCAGGTCTGATGTGCCTGGCCCCTTAACTTAAGTATGAAACATTCAAACATCACTCATGCTTCGAACTGGGGTCGCTTCACTGCATGTAGAACGTTGTTCCCCGCAAGCAGCCTCAGAGTGCGCCCACTGCTCTCCACATCTTGTTAGAAAAGCTCGCAACGCCTAGCATGCCTCTGCATGTTTTTTGCCTACCACCTCTTGCGACGCGGTTTGCTTCCGGTGAAAAAACCTAGCTAACTCGCTTAGCCGTTCTCAGGGCTGCGGCGGTAGTAGGCAGGCTGGTCCGGCGATGGGCCATCCACAGTCGGGCCCAGGTAGCCAACGCCGGTCACGTCATCAGCAGAAGGCTGCCTGGCATCCCAGTCCAGAAAGGCAATCCAGGTGACGACAATGGGGACCAAGATCACAATCACATCAGTCTTGCTGAAGCTGTCCGAAGCCTGGTCCGTTGCCAGGGCAGGGCTGGCAGGCAGAGCAGCCAGCACCGCACCTGCCAAAGCAGCCTCCTGACCACGAATTGCCGGCTGCTGGCCAGGGCCCGCAACGAACGCCTGATTCAGGGCCACCAATCCACAGGCCAGGATTGCCAGTGCCAGCAGCACAGGCTGCCTCTTGCCCATGATTGCGATGCGTCAGGTCCCCTCAGAGCGAGACCTCTGAAAAACCACTTGAGCCAGCAGCAACACGCGACATGCCATCTCCCTTCAAATGCACAACACTTACTTCTCTCACATTGCATGGCATGTGTGTGTGTGTGTGCGTGTGTGTGTGATGCGTCTGCGTTAGACACGTCACATGGCCTCGCATGACGCTGGACTGCCTATCTTCTTGGCATTGCAAAAGTCAGGTCTGATGTGCCTGGCCCCCTGAACTTAAGTATTAAACATTCAAACATCACTCATACTTCGAACTGGGGTCGCTTCAATGCATGTAGAACGTTGTTTCCCGCAAGCAGCCTCAGAGTGCGCCCACTGCTCTCCACATCTTGTTAGAAAAGCTCGCAACGCCTAGCATGCCTCTGCATGTTTTTTGCCTACCACCTCTTGCGACGCGGTCTGCTTCCAGTGAAAAATCCTAGCTAACTCGCTTAGCCGTTCTCAGGGCTGCGGCGGTAGTAGGCAGGCTGGTCCGGCGATGGGCCATCCACAGTCGGGCCCAGGTAGCCAACGCCAGTCACGTCATCAGCAGAAGGCTGCCTGGCATCCCAGTCCAGAAAGGCAATCCAGGTGACAACGATGGGGACCAAGATCACAATCACATCAGTCTTGCTGAAGCTGTCCGAAGCCTGGTCCGTTGCCAGGGCAGGGCTGGCAGGCAGAGCAGCCAGCACCGCACCTGCCAGAGCAGCCTCCTGACCACGAAGTGCCGGCTGCTGGCCAGGGCCCGCAACGAACGCCTGATTCAGGGCCACCAATCCACAGGCCAGGATTGCCAGTGCCAGCAGCACAGGCTGCCGCTTGCCCATGATTGCGATGCGTCAGGTCCCCCCAGAGCGAGACCTCTGAAAAACCACTTGGGCCAACAGCAACAAACAATCTGTCAAGCCTGCAAGAGCCAAATATGCACATGTCGCAAGGCTCATGCTTGTCGAGTCAGTTGTACACCGTCTCAACATGAATGCAACTTGGCCCTCCACCATGCCCGTGACCAATCTTTCATCATAGGCTCCAATAGGCGTTCATTGCGTGCGGCTGGATGCACCGCAAGGGATGGCAGGCTTTAGAAAATCAACTTGTGCATCGGTGTTCTTTTCTGGCATGTGCTACATCAGGGAAGAACAGCACAAAGCGGGTCTGTGTGTGTGTACTCTTGGATCTGTGCGAGTGTGTGTGTGTGCGTGGGTGTGGTGTAGGTGTAGGTGCAGGTGTGTAGGTCTATGTGTAGGTGTGTAGTACGTGTGTAGTAGGTGTGGATGTGTAGGTGTAGGTGTAGGCGTGTAGGTGTAGGTGTAGGTGGTGTAGGTGTAGGTGTAGGTGCGTGTGGCAGGGGGGGTGCGGGTGCGTGCGCGTGCGCGCGCGTGCGCGTGCGTGTGCTTGTGCGTGTGTTGCGCGTGTGCGTGCGGTTGTGGGTGTGGGTGTGGGCGTGTGGGGGTGGGTGTGTGGGGGTGGGTGTGTGGGGGTGGGTGTGTGTGGGGGTGGGGATGTGGGGGTGGGGGTGTAGGGCTGGAGGTGTGCGGTGTTGTGTATTGGTGTTTGGTGCTTGGCGTTTGGCGCTTGGTGTTTGGTGTTTTGTGTTTGGTGCTTGGTGCTTGGTATTTGGTGTTTTGTGTTTGGTGCTTGGTCCTGTGTGTTTGTGGTTTGCTGTGTGTGTTTTCTTGATCTAGGTTATGCGCTTTGTTGGTTGGGGGTGGTGGTGGGGCTGCGTGTGGGTGTGTGTGTGTGTGGGTGTGGTGTGTGTGTGGGTGTGTGGGTTGTGTGGGTGTGTGTGGGTGTGTGTGTGTGTGTGGGTGTGTGTGGGTGTGTGTGTGTGGGTGTGTGTGGGTGTGCGTGGGTGTGCGTGGGTGTGGGTGTGGGTGTGGGTGTGGATGTGTGTGGGTGTGTGGGTGTGTGGGTGTGGGGGTGTGGGGGTGTGGGGGTGTGGGGGTGGGGGTGTGCGGGTGTGCGGATATGTGGGCGTGTGGGTGTGCAGGTGTGGTGGGGGTGTGGGTGTGTGGGGGTGTATGGGGGTGTGTATGGGCGTGAATGGGTGTGTGTGGGTGTGTATGGGGGTGTATGGGGGTCCATGGGGTGTATGGGTTGTGTGGGGGTGTGGGGGTGTATGGGGGTGTATGGGTGTGTGTGGGTGGGGTGTGTGTGGGTGGTGTGTGTGGGTGTGTATGGGTGTGTATGGGTGTGTACGGGTGTGTATGGGTGTGTATGGGTGTGTATGCGTCTGTATGGGTGTGTGTGTGTGGGTGCGAATGGGTGTGTATGGCTGTTCCCTTCGCTTAATCCAGGCATATCCAAGGGAGATCATATGGATCTCGCTTTGAGCCAAGGTACCTTAGTTGTCAACCCGGAGCCCCCCAACAAAACCCGAAAGAGGGAACTCGGGGAAACAACACATCCCAGAAACCAACAGGGGGCAAAGGGAAACCCGACAGAGGACAGCGGTCCGTGGAGCAGTGCAAAAGGGACAACATCCAAACAGGAGGCGTAACAGGCAAAATCATGAAAACATAAAATCTGCCAAGCGTGACATGTAGACTGCCTTGGTTCACAAGATGCTTGCAAGGACCGTGCACTCCCTTCTTTTATCTGCTCGTCTTGAGTCGGTATGGCAAAGCTGGGCCTCTTAGAGGCACTGCTGCGAGTAGATGTGTGGCCCCATTCAAGACTCTTTCGGTGGACACCATTTCATCATTCAAGCCACACATTCTCCCCCCCCCCAAGGCCCGAAGAAGAAATCATACAGGGAGGGAGGGTGGGACCTCAAATTTGTTCATCCTGTGGAGCCCGGCACTGGATCAGACATGTGTTCAAACCTGAACTCCATGGAACATGTTGACACCAGTGCGAGGGGTCCTCAAAATTCATGATGTGAAAATCACATGCAAAAATCAAGGAAAATCAAGCACATGACGAATTCCTCTTCCGTCATATCAAAGCATACACCAGCTTCGCTGATCACAAAGTCTGTGTACCACATACAAGTGTTATCAGGCAGGAGGCCACCCTCTCATAGAGAGCACTTAGAAAAGGCCCCTACCACCACCCAAAAGGATTAGCGCTCATAAGAACAGTCTCATTGGTCACGCCCAAACCAACTGTTCCCTTCGCTTAATCCAGGCATATCCAAGGGAGATCATATGGATCTCGCTTTGAGCCAAGGTACCTTAGTTGTCAACCCGGAGCCCCCAACAAAACCCGAAAGAGGGAACTCAGGGAAACAACACATCCCAGAAACCAACAGGGGGCAAAGGGAAACCCGACAGAGGACAGCGGTCCGTGGAGCAGTGCAACAGGGACAACATCCAAACAGGAGGCGTAACAGGCAAAATCATGAAAACATAAAATCTGCCAAGCGTGACATGTAGACTGCCTTGGTTCACAAGATGCTTGCAAGGACCGTGCACTCCCTTCTTTTATCTGCTCGTCTTGAGTCGGTATGGCAAAGCTGGGCCTCTTAGAGGCACTGCTGCGAGTAGATGTGTGGCCCCATTCAAGACTCCACCCTCTTTCGGTGGACACCATTTCATCATTCAAGCCACACATTCTCCCCCCTTCCCTTCAGGGACGAGCAGCAGAGCCTCCTTCCCATTTGGTCTTTGACTCCAGCTTCGCCCTTTTTGACATCTTTTGTTTCGGTCCAGCGCCAGCTTGTCTCGCCTCTACCAGCGCTTCTTCCAGCTCCCTTTGAGCTTCAAGCATCTCTTCCAGCAGTCCCACATCAATGTCTTGCCAAGTCACTGGAACTCGACGTTTGATGGAGAAGGAGCCAAAGTCCCCGAGCCTGTACCACAGCTGCATGTTCACCAGTGCCAAAGGAAAACGTGTCGTTGATCGGCTGCGACTGAGGTAGTCGATGGCCAAATTGTCAGTGCCCCCACACACCGACAAAACGCGTGGCGCCGATCCTTCAGAGTCCAAAAACCCAAAGCAGTGCAAAGCCACATAGACTGCCAGAAGCTCAGCCACCGTAGAGTTCATCTTCGACTCGTTGTCCTTCCCGAAAAGCCAAGGCGCCATGGTGAACCATTTGGCAGCGCCAGGATCTGCCCCATCGCCCAATGACCAGCCTCCCAGCACAACAGAGCCTGTTGCACATTTGGCTGCCTGAGCGGTAGGTCGTGCAGGAGAGGAGCACGACACAGTATAGTTCCCCCTCACCAGCATCCTCTGAATAAACACCAGGGTGAGCCTCACCTGTGTAGGCAGAGCAGCTGTCATCCCTACTGACAGCACAGCAGACCAGGCAAAGAGCGGCGCCAAGAAAGGTCGAAGCCAGCCCAACGCCTGCGCGGCAACCGACAGCCGCCCAAGAAATTCCACAAACCCCCTCTGGGCGACTATCCATTGATCTCTCCTTGCAGCATCAACCCATTCCACAAACCACGCCGACCGCCGCTCAGAGACCCCCACTGCAAACCGAGCGTAGTCGCAGTAGAACCCCACATAGTCCAATGAAATGCCGCCCCTGAACTTGTGCCAAGAAAACGGCGTGCCCACAGCCAGCCACAGGAATGGTGAGATACCTGCATGAACCCCCAGCAGTCCACTTGAGGTCATCTGCAAACAGAAGCTGGTAAGCATGTTCCTGCAACATCGCCCGGCCTGCAAATCTGCCGATGGCCCCAGCCAGCCTGCCAAAGCGCAAAGCGGCGCTGGCCACTCCAAACGTCCCTACTCTGTTGAGCCAGACAGTGTCCTTGTTGGGGTCATCTCCAGGAGTAGGTTTAGCGCGGCAGCCCAAATATCCAAAGCCCGTTTCTCTGCACAAGCATCTACGATGCGCTTTAGCCACATCAGCAGCAACTGTCACCAGCACCTGCTCATCATCCTCACGCGAGGCTTCTTGCACCATTGCCAGTTCTGCAGCGGAAGGAAATTCAAGGCGGTCTGCGATCCGTATCGAGTTATTGATTTGTGCAGAATGTGTAGCATCAAACAACACTCTGACCTCCCCCGAATCCTTGACAATAGCCCCCAGAGCCGCGATCCTTAGCTTGTCCCCGTACCTCCTGCGTGCCTCAGCTAGTGTCAACGGGAAGACGAAACCCTCCTCCTCCTCGGCTCTGAGCTGCTCTTCGATCTTGCCAGCTGTCTCTTGAGCACTTTTGTAGTTCACCGCTTCCGGCGCAAACTCACTGTCTGCGTAAACCTTGTGGCGTTTCTTCGGCCTGAAAACCTCCCTGGCTCGTGGGGGGGGGGGGAACCTCTCGCCCACACCCACCTTTCTGCCGGTGACGTAGTTGTCCCCCGCATTCTCGGCAAGGATCCTCCAGTCTGGGTCATGTCTTTACCCCAGCCAGCACTGGGTCAGGGAGCATTCCAAACCAACTGGTTCTGAAGCCGTCAAGAGCACTTTCACTGAAAGGTGATTGTTTCATCCTCCCTGTTGCCAGCAGAAAGAAACTCCTCTGCAAATCCGCCAGGCTCTCACGCACCGCTCTGACCACCAGCTCATGAAGAGCCTCGCAAAAACCGCGTTCATCCAGCGGCATCCCAAATCCTCGCTGCTTGGGTCTCCACTTCCCGGGGAGCACAACCCGCACCCATCTGCAAAACTGCTCTCTCTGGCCTGCCAATAGCATGCAATCGGGTCACCCATGTTGTCCCGGGCTGCAGTGCTGAGCCTGCCATGAAAACTCCAATCGATCTCCTCCTCCCGTTGGTTCTGGCCCCTGTGAGTCCGAGCCCTGCACCACCTTTCCTTTAGCTCTCTCTTCTCGCATTTGTGGTTTTCCAGACTGCCCCAACAATGGCCTGGCGATCCCCCCCTCTTTCAGCGGCAGAATTGCCATGGCCATAGTTGCTATGGCGCGGCACATGTTGGGAGGGTAGGCCGCCGCCGGCGCTGTGAGGAAGTCTCCCTGTTTGCTGCGCCCCAGCAACTTCTTGGAATGCCCTCCACATGGACAACACCGTGGCAACGGTCCAAGGTAACCCCCTTCAGTGTCCAAAACCGGCACCCCGGGATGCACATCCATAACCTTTGCACAATCCAGTGTTGTCACAAACCGGGTCGGTTTGGGCGTGGGAGCACCAAATTGGCATTGGAAGAAGGCCACTGTAGATGCCCTGCGTTCCAGGATAAGCTGCTCCATCTCAGTCCAGTCCCATATTGAGGCCGGAACCTGATCGGCGCATCTGCCCAGCTGTTCTGGATGTTCAATAAGAAACCATCCTCCCACCATGTGGAATGGTTCTTGCTGCCTCGATAGACCTGAGCACCAGACAGTCTGCTTGCTGGATCTGCGAACGCGCCGCTGTGTCCAACCATGGAAAGCCATGCAAAAAACTCAAAGACCGCAGTGGTCGGGGTCCTGGACTGGTACGCCATTGGTTGCGTGCTCTGCTAAAAGTATTGCATGGGGGAGCAGCAAGTAATACATCAAAATGCTTTTGCTGCAACTGCTGTAGTAAACCACGCCACTTATCCTCGCATAACAAATTCTGTGACTCTCCTCGACAGAGATCCCACTCCTCAACACTCACCTCAGTCTCCTGATCAGTGAAACTCATAAGCCAACTACGCACATCTGCATGCCGGCTAGACTCTTAGAGTGCGACTTGCCCGCTGACCATCCTCCTGTGACTGTCAGTTCTTTTGCCCCGTTGCCGGAGCCTCTGACGCCTTGTCTTTCCCTTTGGGACACTGTGTCCGGGGATGCCCTTGCAAACAAAGCTGACATACGTGCACGCGTCCACACTTGTTCTTGCTTTGCTGACCATTGTTGTAATTGTAGCAAATCTGCTTCCCATCGGGCGTGGTGCTGTAAATGAAGCCCCGTTTGCTGTCTGCACCCATTTTGCCTTTCGAGCCCTTTCCTTTGCCGCCGCCGCCTCCTCCTTTTCCAAACGACCTCGACGGGTTGTCCTGAACCCGTTGGTACTACTTCATTGGGGGCGGGGCCGAATGTCTCCCTTCCAGTACCAGCGGTGTAATATAATAAACTTCCTTGATCTCTGCATCTTTGCAAGTCTCCGCCAGTGTCTCACGGATGGGTTTCCCCGCAGCCACTGCCCTCTTGTACGCCGATTTTCGCACCTGAAACTCATACTGCAAGAAAATCTGCCAATTTGGATGCAACGGTGCCATAGTCGCCGAGTTGTCCCCCTTTGGAATCTTCAGGGAGTAAACCTTTTCCCCGAGCAACCATTCCAAATGCAAATACATATCCTGCATCGTGAAACCTGCAAACCAAGCCTTCTGCCGAAATTTTGCTTGAAGCATGATGAGCATGTGCGCCTCAATCTTCAACTTGGTTCGTAGCTCCTCTGTGGTACCTGGGAGACGCGCTTTACGCTTCTCTCTTGTGATCCTGATGCGGCCCT